AGTGCCCCAAATCATTTCATTAATCCAACTCATGATACAACCCCTAATACTTGGGGGTTACCTTTTATTTAACTCTGCAGGCTGGAAAAAGTGTTAGAATTAACACAGCTCAGTAGGAACACTCAATTGAGGTATTTAAAGGGGGCTATGAGCAGAGCTACCTCTGAGCGCTACACATAGATCATCTGTCAGCCTGGTGCCCTTGGTACCAGCAGGAATATTACCCCTGCTGACACATTTACTGCATGACAGTCTATGCCATCACTGGGCGTTACAGCCCTGCACTGCATGACGGCATAGACCGTCATGTGGTTCTTAAGTGGTTAACCAACCACACTGTCACTGCTCATATACAGTCCATGGCTGGTTTCTAGACACTGCTCTTTCCAAAGTCCAACTTATTATTATTATTATTAGAATGTGGAGTGTGGAGTTGTGGAAAAATAAAAATGGTCTGGTAGAAGGAATGGGGTTGTAAATAAAGGAATATTTTAGAGAGTTTGGATATAAAGATATAGTAGCTGTATATGAAAAGATCCAGTAAAATATGTGGGACTATGAATAAAGGGATCTAATGGAGGGTGATAACATATATATAAAGGGATCTGGTAAGGGGGTTCGGGCTGTGTATAAAGGGATCTGGTAAGGGGGTTTGGTCTGTGTATAAAGGGATCTGGTAAGGGGTTTGGGCTGTGCATAAAGGGATCTGGTAGAAGGTAGGGGCTAGCTATAAAGGGATCTGGTGGTTTTGTCAGAGTCCATACAGATGTTTAAACTGAAATTGGATAAATACTTGCAATAACATACAGGGATTAATTTCAAATTAGTGGGGTAATAACTGCTTGATCCAAGGAGCCATCTGACTGCTATTTTGGGGTCAAGAAGGAATTTTTTCCTAGTTTGTTGCAAAATTGGAAGCGCTTCAGACTAGGTTTTTTGCCTTCTTTTGGATCAACAGCAAAATCATATGTGAGGAAGGCTGAACTTGATGGACGCAAGTCTCTTTTGTGCTATGTAACTATGGTAAGGGGTATGGGTTGAGTATAAATGGATTTAGTAGGGAGTGATGTGGTGGGTTAATGGATCTGGTAGGAAGTATGGGCTGGTATAAAGGGCTCTGGTAAGGGTATGGGCTGAGTATAAAGGGACCTGGTAGGGGGTATATGCTGTGTATAAATGGATCTGGACAAAGGTATGGGTTGGGTATCAATGGACCTGGTAGAAGGTATGGGCTCAGTATCAATGAATCTGGTGGCAGATTTGGCTGGGTATAAATGGATCTGGTAGAAGGTATGGGCTGGGTATATTAGGATCTGGTAGGAGGTATGGGCTGGTTTGGGTATCAATGGACCTGGTAGAGGGTACGGACTGGGTATAAATGAATCTGGTAGCAGGTATGGGCTGGGTATATTAGGATCTGGTAGAAGGTATGGGCTGGGTATATTAGGATCTGGTAGGGGTATGGGCTGGGTATATTAGGATCTGGTAGAAGGTATGGGCTGGGTATATTAGGATCTGGTAGGGGTATGGGCTGGGTATAAATGGATCCGGTAGAAGGTATGAGATGGGTATAAATTTATCTGGTAACAGGTATGGGCTGGGTATAAATGGATCTGGTAGAGGTATATGCTGGGTCAGAGCCAGATTAAGAGCCCTGTGGGCCTGGTGCTGACAATCATGATGGGGCCTAATTACAGAATCTTATCAACCAAAAACACTAAAACAGTCATACCTCTCAAGCGTCTGATGGAGTTGGTGTTGGAGGGAAACTCAAAGGATGCAACTATAAGAAAACACATACTCTATGCTAATCTCTCTCTAATTTATGCTTTCCTTATTCAATTAAATCCATACCCCCTAACAGCAGTGTCTAGTGAAGCAGGAAGTCAACGGGCGGGGTAAAAGAGTGGGCCACTGACGCAAATCACGTGACCAGAACTGCCAAACGGGGCGAACATGCCCAAAAGGGGGGCATGTCTGTCCAAAGAATTGGAAGGCCAGCCTGGCATCAGTGTCCCTATGTATCACAGTGTCAGTGTCTCCATGTCGTCAATACCATCATGGCCAGGCGGCCTCAAATACCGGCTGTGCCTTAAAATACCAGTCAGGTGGCAAACCTAAGAGTAGTGTGTAAAACAAAAATTCCATGGGCCTGGGCCTTGGCCTGGAGCTGCAGCTCCATCAGTCCCTATGTTAATCCGGCCCTGTGCTGGGTATAAATGGTTCTGGTAGAAGGTTTGGGCTTGGTTTTAATGGATCTGGTAGAAGGTATGGGCTGGGTATAAATGGATCTGGTAGGGGGTATGGGCTGGGTATAAATGGATCTGGTAGGGGGTATGGGCTGAGTATAAATGGATCTGGTAGGAAATATGGGCTGGGTATAAGTGGATCTGGTAGAGGGTATGGGCTGGGTATAAATGGATCTGGTAGGGGGTATGGGCTGGGTATAAATGGATTTGGTAGAAGGTATGGGCTGAGTATAAATGGATCAGGTAGAAGGTATGGGCTGGGTATAAATGGATCAGGTAGAAGGTATGGGCTGAGTATAAATGGATCTGGTAGAAGGTATGGGCTGAGTATAAATGGATCTGGTAGAAAGTATGGGCTGGGTATAAATGGATCAGGTAGAAGGTATGGGCTGAGTATAAATGGATCAGGTAGAAGGTATGGGCTGGGTATAAATGGATCAGGTAGAAGGTATGGGCTGGGTATAAATGGATCAGGTAGAAGGTATGGGCTGGGTATAAATGGATCAGGTAGAAGGTATGGGCTGAGTTTAAATGGATCTGGTAGAAGGTATGGGCTGAGTATAAATGGATCTGGTAGAAAGTATGGGCTGGGTATAAATGGATCAGGTAGAAGGTATGGGCTGAGTATAAATGGATCAGGTAGAAGGTATGGGCTGGGTATAAATGGATCAGGTAGAAGGTATGGGCTGAGTATAAATGGATCTGGTAGGAAGTATGGGCTGGGTATAAATGGATTCGGTAGAAGGTATGGGCTGGCTATAAATTGATCTGGTAGGGGTATATTTTGGGTATAAATGGATCTAGTAGAAGGTATGGGTTGGGTATAAATGAATCTGGTAGAAGGTATGGGCTGGGTATTAATGGATCTGGTAGGAAGTATGGGCTGGGTATAAATGGATTCGGTAGAAGGTATGGGCTGGGTATAAATTGATCTGGTAGGGGTATATGTTGGGTATAAATGGATCTGGTAGAAGGTATGGGCTGGGTATATTAGGATCTGGTAGGAGGTATGGGCTGGGTATAAATGGATCTGGTTTAGGGTATGGGCTGGGTATAAATGGATCTGGTGGCAGATATGGATTGGGTATAAATGGATTCGGTAGAAGGTATGGACTGGGTATGAATGGATCTGGTAACAGATATTGGATGGGTATAAATGGATCTGGTAACAGGTATTGGATGGGTATAAATGGATCTGGTAAAAAGGTATGGGCTGGGTATATTGGGTCGGTCAGTCTCATGTCTCTTGTCGGTTTTGGGAGCTGAGTTTAATTCATCCTGTCTGGCTGCAGGCACAGAAATGTTCACTTGTGGAAAAACGTTGAAACCACTAATAGCACATTACTGACTCACAAACAAAATCTGCTTCATATTAACCCTCTCAGTGCCACCGTACTGACAATGTATACCCTGCAATCACATTACTTTATATAATAATACTTAGTATATACTGTATACAAACCTCAGTAACAATAAACATTATCTACATCCCAAAGCAAATGAAAATCTCCTTTGTAAATTCCTGTCTAAATAGGTCATTTACAGCAGATGGCAATCAGTCAATGTAACTATATTAACTGTAATATATATTGCATAGATAGTACAGCGCTTATTTAATATAATAATACTCTGGTCTTTGCTAATACATTGTATATAATATAAAGATAACATGTTACTTTATATAATAATACTTTATAGTGTAATACTGTATATGTTATATAGGTAATGTAGTAATATATTAGTCTATATAATAATAACATTAATACACTATTATGTAACATTGTATATATTGTATAGGTTATATATTCTATATAATAATACTCTGTGCTGTAACTTTGCATATATTGTATAAGTCATATATTATATATAAAATAATACTCTATGCTGTAACATTGTATATAGTATATAGGTAATACATTCTATATAATAATACTCTATATACTGTAACATTGTATAGGTAATACATTCTATGTAATACTACTCCATACTGTAACACTGTATAAACTGTATAGGTAATATATCCTATATAGTAATACACTGTAATGCAGCATTGTATATATTGTATAGGTAAGTTATTCTTTATAATAATACTTTGTGATGTAACATTGTACATATTATATAGCTAATATATTCTATATAATAATACCCTATACTGTAACATTATAATATATTGTATATAATAATACTCCATATTGTAACACTGTATACATTGTATAGGTAATTTATTGTATATAATAATATTCCATACTGTAACACTGTATACATTGTATAGGTAATATATTGTATATAATAATATTCTATACTGTAACATTGTATATATTGTATATGTAATATATTGTATATAATAATACTCCATACTGTAACATTGTATACATTGTATATGTAATATATTGTATTTAATAATATTCTATACTGTAACACTGTATACATTGTATAGGTAATATACTGTATATAATAATACTCCATACTGTAACACTGTATATATTGTATATGTAATATATTGTATATAATAATACTCCATACAGTAACATTGTATACATTGTATAGGTAATATATTGTATATAATAATACTCCATACTGTAACATTGTATACATTGTATAGGTAATATATTGTATATAATAATACTCCATACTGTAACATTGTATACATTGTATAGGTAATATATTGTATATAATAATACTCCATACTGTAACATTGTATTTATTTTAAAGAGCTCCTGATCTTCATCTAGGTGACGCCCACCCTTCCCAGCTCTGCAGTCAGCCAATCTGGTGACAGTATGCAAATTAGCAGGAGCCTGACTGTGGCTGGGAGGGGAGTGTGCGATACAGAGAAAGGAGCTGAATGTATCCTGGGCTGACTGTATCAGGATACCAGTCTGTCTGTCTGTCTGTTTGAGTCTATCAGTGTCTGTCTGTCTGAGTCTATCAGTGTCTGTCTGACTGCAACAATAGCTGTCTATTTGAGGAGAGCTTCCTTCAGTCTCAGGTTAGTACATATCCCACCTCTACCTCTGTATATAGGCACATATCCCACCTTTACCTCTGTATACAGGCACATATCCCTACCTCTGTATACATACACATCTCATCCCTACCTCTGTATATAGGCACATATCCCATCCCTACCTCTGTATATAGGCACATATCCCACCCCTACCTCTGTATACAGGCACATATCCCTACCTCTGTATACAGACACATCTCATCCCTACCTCTGTATATAGGCACATATCCCACATCTACCTCTGTATACAGGCACATATCCCTAACTCTGTATACAGTCACATCCCATCCCTACCTCTGTATACAGGCACATATCCCACCTCTAACTCTCTATACAGGCACATATCCCACATCTACCTCTGTATACAGGCACATATCCCACCTCTACCTCTGTATACAGGCACATACCCTACCTATAACTCTGTATAAAGGCACATATCCCACATCTACCTCTGTATACAGACAAATATCCCACATCTACCTCTGTATACAGACAAATATCCCACATCTACCTCTGTATACAGGCACATACCCTACCTATACCTCTTTATACAGGCACATATCCCACATCTACCTCTGTATACAGACACATATCCCACATCTACCTCTGTATACAGGCACATATCCCACCTCTACCTCTGTATACAGGCACATATCCCATCCCATCCTCTATATACAGACACATATTCCATCCTCTATATACAGACATATATCTCATCCCTATCTCTGTATACAGACACATATTCCATACCTTCCTCTCTATACAGACATGCATCCCACCCGTACCTCTGTATAAAGACACATATCCCACCCCTACCTCTGTATAAAGACACATATCCCACCCCTACCTCTGTATAAAGACACATATCCCACCCCTACCTCTGAATACATGCACATATCCCATCCCTACCTGTATACAGACACATATCCCATCCCTGCCTTTCTATACAGACACATATCCCATCCCTGCCTCTCTATACAGACACATATCCCGCCTCTAACTCTCTATACAGACACATATCCCATCCCTACCTCTCTACTACAGACCCACCCCCTCTCTATGTACTTATCACCCAATATGATGATATGATGATGAAGTTAATACTGTCCTTGGTGCTGTTGTGTGTCCCTATTCCAAGTTGCACGCACCCCCTCCCCATAAGTGCTATTGTTTTTCTCTAACACAAGATTGCTGCTGGATGTCAGGCATTTCCCTACTAATGGGTGGGGGACCACCTTCCCTAGTATAAGTTACATTATTTGGTGCTATTTGGGGCACCGGTCCAGTTGCTGTCATGTGTCTGCCATGATTTGGGGAGTGACTGTGCAGCCTCCCCTCACCCTGAACGCTTTTCTATTTCAGGGGGATCCAGACGGATCGAAATATGTCCAGTCTCATACTCTTTGTCCTTCCCTTGCTCCTTGGGACTGTGGCCCCATCTCCTGCCAGGTGGGCCCCAGACGGTGAGGATGTTCTGATGGAGGTAGATGTTTCTCCCATGGAACCCGCCTTCAATGTTGGAGCTGAGAAGGACAGCCTGAATGAGATGTTCCGGGAGGTGGAGGAGCTAATGGAAGACAGTCAGACCAAGCTGCAGAATGCTGTTAGAGAGGTAAGATCCCCTTTTAAAAAGATTCAATCTTTATAAATGAACATCAACTCTAAAAGACCCCAAATCATTATCACTGAAAACTGGCATTGAAAACTCCCATTGGATAACTTATCAGTGATCACCCTCGCCATTAGGGAAACAACCGCTAAATCAAGGGTGCTCGAAAGGTAGATGCCCAGATATTTTAAAACGACAGTTTCCATGATGTTTTGTCATTCTAAAGGCATGCAAAGCATCATGGGAGTTGAAGTCCTACAAAATCTGGGGATCTATACCCTAAATCATTATCAATAAACACCGGCCTTGGAAGAAGACCCCTACAATTATGATCAAAGATCAATCACGTTGCAAAAGACTACTAGATCATTATCTGAACACCCCCTTTAACAAAAGACCATGAGATCATTCTTCTTATTATTCCTATTATTTATGATTGAACTGTCTTTCTAAATCACACTTTAACAGTGCTCTCACTACTTGCAATGGTAAAAGCAAGTCTTATGGCTTGCCTGATGTGTGTATTTGTGTTTAACATTGCATTAACTATCCACTTATTTCAGGTGGAAGGGGTTTTCATCCACACTTTTTTTCCCCACCACAACTTATTTGGTATGTACTTAACAATTAAAGCCAAACCTCCATAGCAAGCCAGTAACCAACTTCATGCTGATGAGTTGAAATAACAATGAAACAGCTGTCCATGAGTGGCTTTACTCCTCTTCCTGAGTTGTGTTTCAAAGCTGTTGTATACAGCAGACACATACTCCAAGGAATCAATGTATAAGGTGGAATTATGAGGCAAAAATGTGGTTCTTTGTTGAGCTCATTTGCATATGCCTACCCAGAATTCCTTGCAGTAGTGAGAGCACTGTTAAAGTGAGATTTCTGTGGGAAAAGCAAGTCTGATGGCTTGACTGGTGTGTGTATTTGTGTTTAACATTGCATTAACTATCCACTTACTTCAGGTGGAAGGGGTTTTCGTCCACACTTGTTTGCCCACCACAACTTAATTGGTATGTAAATCTTACTATATATGCATTGTCTGTGTCATAACCACTCAATGGATGGCACATACTTATTCGTTTTTGGTTTTTATATTTACATATAAACCAGTTAACTGACAGGTGGATTCCAGGTGTTTTGTAAGGGTTCCAGCGGGAGATGTGAAGGCTATGAGGACCCCATTGGTAATACACTAGGGGGATAATGTATAAAAAGAGGAAATATATTGTAAAAATTAATGAAAAGATTTACCTTTTAAACTTTGACTTCTCCAGTTGCCAGGAAGTAGCTGAAATTTCCAATCCAATCCTGGCACTATCATTGCTTTAGGTAGGAGTTCTCCTGAAATCCTATGAAGCACATGCAATTGCAGAAAAACACAGACAGCAAGCTCTGTGTGTCCTTACCATTGCAGGGAGCGTAGGTGCTTGGAGTGACCCTTAAAGGAACATTATAGGCACTCAGACTACTTCAGCTCATCGAACTTGTCTGGGTGCAGTGTCCCTGTCCCACTTAGTCCTGCAATGTAAATCATTGCAGTTTTTTGAGAAACTGCAACGATTATCGTGAAGGACTAAGACTGCCTCTAGTGGCTGCTTGATTGAAAATTGGCAATGATTGTGAATCACACAGCCACTAGAGGCACTTGCTGGTGGTTAGGTGACGTTTGGTTGCCTAAGTGACGCTGGATGTTCTCACGCTATGCATGCAGACATCTAGCATCTGTAAAATACTAATACAAAAGCATTAATACAATGCTTTCGAATGGGGAAGGCCTAATTTTAAATGTCTTACATTAACAAAGAGATTTAGGTTAGGTCACACTGAAATGTAGAACAATGAATTCCAACATATTTTTCCATTAAAGTCAATAGAGTCTGGATCAGCAACATACTTTAAAGGACCACTTATTGAATTGGTCTGGGTCAGTGGGCCTTTGTTTTAACCCTGCAATTTAACATTTTGCAGAAACTGTATCCATTGCAGATTTAAGCACAGCTCTAGTGGCTTCCCTCCTGACAGTCAGAACTGCAGGGTTATTCCATAAAGTGAGAATTTAAAGTGAATTCAAAATGGATTTCAACGTAAGGATAAAGTAGGCGAGCTAGAAGCATAGCCGAATTACAGAATTTTGTCAGTTCAGCTATTTTACCCTTAAACTTGAAATTCATTTTATATTCATTTTGAATTATCACTATAGTAAATAACCCTGTTGGTTTTCAATAAAATGCTGCTCTTAGAGAACATTTGATTGGTGCAGCACGGCAATTTGTCACGCGTGCTCACTAAAATCCCAGTGCCCTATAGGGAAGCTTTGGATTGGCTGAGATCATCAATCTTGATAATCTCAACCGGGGAAGTGGGGCAGCTGCGGCGAGACGACACAGCGAAGGAGTAAAGGAAAGTAAACTCACCTTTCAAACCCTGATTGAGGGGTTACTCCACACCAAATAGGTAGGATAAAAAAATTGCATTAGGAATACATGTTTGTAATATTCCTTTAAAATAACTGACTTTGCAATCTCATATTTACTATTGGCCAATCTGGTTGAAATTAAGTTTTTCGTTTGGTACTACCAGTGTCTGCAAAATCAAAAAGTACTTCTATAGTAGAATGCCTCATATAAAACAATACTTGCATACTTATAAAACACTGAATTTCAACTGGATGCAGTCTGAACAAGTACGGCAGAAGTCAAATCCCCCAAATAAATGAACCTGCTTTTTGCAGGTGAACCTCCTTTTCATAAATGAACCCTTTAGCAGCGTAAGCAGCCAGCGATTTAATAAATAATAATAATAAATGAATGATATAATATACAGTAACCTAGATAAGCATGTTTTAATTATTTTGACTCAACATTTTCTTTCGTTACAAATGACAGCTGTCTTCCTTCAGCTTCGACCCAACTGATTTGTGGAAATTGGGTTGAAGTGAGTTTGTGGCAGATGGCTGTGAATTCTTTCTAATCCTCACTGTGTTTGTGGGTTTGGTTACGTATTTTTTTCATTCGGTTCTGGATTTCTTACACCAGGTTGCATCAGGACAAGCTTAAAGGGACACTATAGTCACCTGAACAACTTACGCTTAATGAAGCAGTTTTTGGTGTATAGAACATGCCCCTGCAGCCTCACTGCTCAATCCTCTGCCATTTAGGAGTTAAATCCCTTTGTTTATGAACCCTAGTCACACCTCCCTGCATGTGACTTGCACAGCCTTCCATAAACACTTCCTGTAAAGAGAGCCCTATTTAGGCTTTCTTTATTGCAAGTTCTGTTTAATTAAGATTTTCTTATCCCCTGCTATGTTAATAGCTTGCTAGACCCTGCAAGAGCCTCCTGTATGTGATTAAAGTTCAATTTAGAGATTGAGATACAGTTATTTAAGGTAAATTACATCTGTTTGAAAGTGAAACCAGTTGTTTTTTTCATGCAGGCTCTGTCAATCATAGCCGGGGAGGTGTGGCTAGGGCTGCATAAACAGAAACAAAGTGATTTAACTCCTAAATGACAGTGAATTGAGCAGTGAAATTGCAGGGGAATTATCTATACACTAAAACTGCTTTATTTAGCTAAATTAATTTAGGTGACTATAGTGTTTCTTTTAAAGGGAAACCCCTTCTGTCACTTACCTGAGTCCTGTGCCGCTGTCCCTAGGTGCTGATTCAGGTTCCGCATCCGCTCCTCCCCCACTAACAATGGCCGCGCTCACATTAGTACTTCCCCCATAGGAAAGGTCCCTCTAGTGGTTGTCTGGTAGACAGCCAGTAGAGGTGGAGTTAACCCTAGCAGGTAATTATTGCAGTCTATTTAAAACTGCAATAATTACCTTTCTAGGGTTAAGGGACCTGGGACACTGCACCCAGACCACTTTAATGAGCATGCTTATAGTTTATTTGAATCTGGTTTACATTCAGTCGAAGGTGGAGCCTGTTTTGCAGAATCTGAACATTTCTTCAGAACAATGTTGGATTTTGCAGTCGGAATACCTCCAAAAGGATTAGTTTAAATAATGTTGCACACGGTTAACTATATATTAGAGAATAACCCTGTGTAGGGAATTAAGACCACAAATAACATTTTGGAGAAATTCCTGAACTCACTAGAGTCACAGCTCGGCTGTTAGAACCTACATTTTGCCATTTGGATTGAAATTTGATACAATTTGAAGTTTAGTGAATAGGTCACTTTATGATTTGTGACCTGCGCATGATTTAACAGTAAATGACTGAAGTGTGCGACTTTTCGACATTTACTGCTGGTTTTCCGAGGGCTTTACACATGCCTTAAGAATTACCCACAGTTCCCTAGATTTTTATTTTATTACTTTTCGTTTTCATGCATTGAAGAGATTTTTCTCGACAGCTCAATAAGTAAAACCTGCAGGGGAAATAAAACCATTCGTCTTTAATGTTCTCTGTGGTTCGCTTTTGCAAAATGACTGCTTCTACAAGAAAATGTCCTACCCGGCCAACTTTCCAAAGAAAACCAAATATCTACAAGCAACATCACTTTAACTCGCCGAGTCCCAAAATATAGAAGAAAGGAAGATTGACAGTTTACAACATTCAGGCTAATATAACCAAGCTATGTGTGGAATGGAGATAGAGAATGTTTTCAAATAATTACACCTAAGTTTTGCATAAGGTTTCCAATTCAACGTTTAATGGATAAAACCCTATAGTTATATTGTTCCCCTTTAAACCCTAGAGTCCAGGCTCTTTCTGTTTGTTTCAGTAAGTTTCAAAACGTATTGAAATGTGTAACGTAGTGTGTGTTGTGTCTTATTTGAATTATTATTATTATTATTTATAAAGTGCCAACAAATTTCGCAGCACTGTACAATAGGTGGACTAACAGATTTATTTGTAACCAAATGAGTTGGACGCACAGGAACAGAGGGGTTGAGGGCCCTGCTCAATGAGCTTACATGCTAGAGCAGGGGTTCCCAACCCTGTCCTCATGTACCCCCTACCGGTCCAGGATTTAGGGATTATCCTGTTGTATCTAAAGTGTTTTTTAAAAGTTCCTTAGACAAAACTGGGCAATCACTAAATCCTGGACTGTTAGGAGGTACTTGAGGACTTGGTTGGGAACCACTGTGCTAGAGGGAGTGGGGTATAGTGACACAATGGGTAAGGGTAGGGGTAGAAAAGTAGGTAGCAATTAAACAATATCAGGGTGAGTCAAAGTCAATTTCAAATTTAAAATCAAAATAACCAACTTTCGTGCCTTAAGTTTGAAATTCACTTTGAATTCTCTTTTAAGAATATAACCCTTTAAGTGCTATGAATCTGGTAATAAAGAAAACTATTTGTTAAGACTAATTGTAGTGGTTATAGTTGACTTTTTTGTCAAACCGTTTTTGGTCAGTTTGGCCCCCAAAAATGGTCTCCCCCCTCTTTTGGCACCCAAAAACCCACAGCCCTTACACTGGTAAACATATAGGGAGGGATTTAATTCCCTTATTACCTGTCCACATTTTTTACTGTAATAAATACAGGCTCTGGGGGCGGCCTAATGTTGCTGTAAGTCAAGTTTGTTTTTCCTGGTCAAATTTCCGCGTCATCTGAGTAGCAGCAGTAGGGATGGACTATGGGTGCTGGGAGAGCTTTAGGTAAAACTGATTAAATTATTTGACAAAAAAACAGAATGACTGCACCCAAAAACTGCTTGTTTCACGCTCATTGCTCTAAGCCAAGATCATTTATTGGAATCTGTTTAACTGTAGCAGGGCATTGTTTTACCAATGCAGGATAAATAATGTATTGATATATTTGTTTTCTGAGGAAAATATATGGATCTAGTCACTAAAACTTGGGATTACAGATGCAGGGCAAAGGAAATGCAAATTATAGGGCAAAATAGACAAATTGGGAACATTCTCAAACTCAGATATTTCCACACAGGTATTTTGACCTAAAATTTGCAGTTGCTTTCTTAATTTATGCACTGTTAAGAATTTGGCATGTAACCCTTAAAGAGAATGGACTTATTTGTCGGCACAACATAAATTTTTTGTGTCATTGATATCCCATTGTATGTACAGTGCTGTGGTATATGGTGGTGTTTTATAAATCATATTATTGGCTGTAGAGTTTAGACTTATTTTCCTTACTATAGTTTCCATCTGGCTCCAAATGCGTCATTTTTATTTCTTCAGAAATCCAAACAGAATTATTTGATTTGCCACATTTTCACTGCTCTCTTCACACGAGTAAAACACTGAAAAATTGAGGATACTTAAGCATATGACTGTTTTACATGTTGGTATTTGTTCTGTTAGTGTCATTGTCACCCGGTGCCATGCTTATTAGTCTGTCACATAAAGCACTCCAGGGTTTGGGCGGATAACTGTGACACAGCCCAGAATGGCAACTTTATCCCTGGAGCTCTAATTAGTCGCAGAACCTGTCAAACTGGGCAGGAAAACCTCTGACTTCTTTACAAAAAGTGAATTCCTTCCAGTAAGGTCTCTAATGAAACAAAATCTTATCGATTGGTACATTAATCCCATATAAAACAAGGATTCTAACAAGTCTTCATTACAATTACTCCGACTGTCCTGTCACAATATAATGTAACATGTGTGTGTATATATATATATATATATATATATAAAAATCAATAAAGGGAGCACACCAGGACTTCAGTAAAGTGCAAAAAGTATTTACTGTATCCAAAACATGATACAAATTCTGTGTAGAGAGAATCAACGTTTCGACCCTACCGGGGTCTTTATCAAGATCACAGTGAAATGTGGTTATGGTGGATAATATATACATACAAATAAAGTGTCGCTTACCAATCAGATAGTCGAGACCCCGATCAGCTACAGACACCGGAAGTGAGAAGACCACGTGAACAGTGCATATCATGTGACTGGGTTACTGAGTAATCTGCGTGATAATGCTACAAACAGAAGATCGGGTAGCCGGCGCCGCCGTGATACCCGGAAGTGCTCCAGACCACGTGGGGGTGGTCATGTGACAGAGAGTCATGTGACAAGGTTGCTAAGCAACCAGTCTAACAATGTCTAATTCTTCCTTTTCTAACCGGAGATCGAAGAAGCAGATAGCGAGTACTACATATGGAGGACAGAGTCAAATAAAAACCCCACTATAAGGATGATCTATAGGTGACAAAAAGTGCAAAGTGCAGAGGATCATATGCATGTGCAAAACAGTGAGAGGAATATATATAAACTACAAAGCAGATCAATCCCAGGTGGGGAATAGAAAGTCACTATTACATATACAGAATTCTAAATATATACATATATACATCAACAGTACATTATACTGTGTTATAGTCTACCCCGTAGTAAAACAATATATCTCTTATAAGTTTACTGATGTTTGGTCTATTGAAATCCAAGCAGGAGCTTAAAATATACTACACACGCTGTGTGTGTATAAAGTCAGGACTCTGAGTCCTAAGTGTATATTACTGAGCTTTACTTCCTATTTGTCAGACGGCACTGACCAAATCTTATCTACCTTTACTTTCCATGGTGAATCTATTGTGGAATATATGCAACAAATGGATAGAAAAGTATACTCAAGAAAAGTATACAAAAGAATAAATATGTACAGGGAAAATCCAGATTCTACAGAAAAACTACGTATTGTGTTGCTACCCTAGATATGTGAACAAGAGTGGGCATCAACAATATATATTGTATCATGTTAAAGGAACATTGAGAGAACTAAATGTTCATTAAGTCCCTTCGGGGTTACGGTATTCAAGTGATGTATCCAGTAGGCTTCACGTTGGAGTAGCAACTTAGATCTATCACCTCCTCTAGGTGGTATCGGTACATGGTCAATGGCTATGAATCTGAGAGTAGGCAGATGGTGTTGTGCTGATAAAAAATGTTTCGCCACCGGTTTATCCGTTTTTTGATCTCTGTAGGCTGTGTTGATTCCCGAGCGATGTCCCCTAATCCGATCTCTTAAAGTCATGTCGGTCTTCCCAACGTAGGCTAAGCCACACGGACAAGTAATCATGTACACTACATATGTTGTCATACATGAAATATAGTGCTTGATGGGGATGCGTTTACCACTGTGCGGATGTACAAATGTGGTTCCAGTGAGCATATGGCCACATGTGACGCAGCCGCTACATTTGTAGCAGCCTTTCTTTTGGATTTTTGGCATCTTGGCATAGCATACTCGAGGATCATTCTTAACCAATAGATCTCTCAGGTTCCGATTTCTTTTATAACTGATGATAGGATTGACTTTAAATTTGTCAGAAAGATTTTGGTCCACCTGGAACATATTCCAATGTTTACAAATGCATCTTTTGAGGAAGGGAGTTGCAGTGTTGAATGTGATGGGGAGGAAGATATTATTCTTCTTCATAGGGCTTATATTATTACTTTGATTGTATTTCTTCCAAGCATTTATCATAGCTTTTTCCAGGACTCGTGGATGAAAGCCCCTTGTCAGGAAGCGATCCCAAGCTTCCTGGAGCTGCTGATCGCAGTTAACTGGATTACTATTATACCTCATAACCCGGAGGAATTGTGAGATAGGTAGTGAGTCCTTGACATGCTGAGGATGGAAGCTAGTTGCAGACAACAGTGTATTCCGATCTGTTGTTTTTCGAAATAAAGTAAACCCTAATTGATTTTCAGTTTTAAATATCTTCACATCCAAGAATTCAATGCTGTGCTCATTCCAATTCAGTGTTAACTTAACTGGTATGGGTAAAGTGTTGATCTGCTGAACCATCTCTTGAAGTGTGGATACAGTGCCTTCCCAGATCACAAAAATATCGTCCACAAATCTAGCATATTTAAGTATATATGGCTGATATTGCTGTAGAATGTACTTAGCTTCAAACCAGTACATAAAGCCATTGGCATAGGCTGGTGCCATGGCTGCGCCCATGGCAGTACCTGAGGTTTGAAGGTAGAAGCCATCTTCAAATTTAAAATAATTACATGATAGTGCAATATCCAGCCATTCCATCAGATAAGAGATATGTGGACCACTATACGTGTCATCATTCGATAGAATCTCGGCGATAGCTTCAATTCCTTCTTTTTTCGGAATTATTGTGTAAAGACTTTGGACGTCCATCGTAGCCAAGATGATCTCTTTGTTTGTAAGATCAATATCTTGTATCTGACTGATAAAGTGTTGTGTGTCTTTCAGACAAGTTGGAAGTTTTCTCACGCTGTTATTGATATAATAATCAATAAATTGAGCAATCGGCTCAATTAACCCACCTTTGGCTGATACAATTGGACGGCCAGGTGGATGCACCAAGTCCTTGTGGATCTTTGGTACTGTGTACATGACCGGATGTTTTGGGTATTTAACGAACAAAAATTTAGCAGTCCTTTCATCAAGGTAACGATGTAGCAGACCTTCACCTATAAGTTTTTCAATCTTTTTTTGGAATTTTGCAACGGGGTCAAAGGTAAGTCTTGAATAAGTAGCTGTATCCTGTAATTGTCGCAGGATTTCTCCCCTATAATCCTCATAGGTTTGTATCACTATAGCTCCGCCTTTATCGGCAGGCCTAATGATGATAGTAGGATCCTGGATTAAATCCTTCAATGCTGCATGTTCTCCCTTGGTTAGGTTATCCCTGTAATGTGGTGGAGTAGTTACCATGGGGTCGATCTCGTGCCTTATAACCTGCATGAAAGTCCTAATCGAGTGACTAGGTGTGTAGATGTCTTTCTTATACCGATTAGGAAAAGTGTGTATCGTGGTGAGACATTCATCCCTTTTGATGTCATGGCTGTATAAAGTTCTTTGCATTTTATATAAATCAATAGCCATCTCAAACTTTCTAGGTTTGGCCACGGGTATAAATGTGAGGCCCTTTTGTAAAAGCGACATATGGTTATGATCCAGGATCTTATTAGAGAGATTAAAAATGGATGTTACTTCCGTTGTCTGGGAGGTTTTCCCATGGCTCCTATATTTCTTGTTACCCTTTTGTCCACGTCTAGGGCTTCTCTTTCGTCTCTTCGATTTTGTTCGTTGGTCTTGGTTACTCGTGGCGGGTCGTTTACATGTCTCCCATCCTTTAAAAAAGGCACCTGTCTTTCCACTTGAAGGTCGGTCCTTTTTTCCCCATCTGAGGCTGATTCCCCCGAGCTTATATCCACTGTTTGTAAGGCAGGTTTTCTGATGCGTGTCCTAAATCTAGGAGTAGGATTCCGTGTATTAGAGTCTGACCCGTTTAACCAGCGGTAGACCTGATGAAACTTGTAATCGTGGTTCACCTTTTCAACTTTTACTTTTTTAAAACGAATCAGTTCATTTTGATATTTCTGAATATCGTCTTGTAGTTTAAGCATAAATTCAGTAGGTGGCATAGTCTGCAATGCTGTGACGTGAGTCAATTCAAATTCCTGTATTGATTTCTTCACTTGAAGCAATTCTATTCCAACTTCTTCAATCACTATTACCATCCAATCAAGAGAGCATTTATTCGATATATTCATCCATTTCTTACAGAAGTTGGGATTCTGTCTCCCTATAGTTGGAGCGTTCTTTATCCGAAAACCTCTTGGAATGCGTTTGGATCTGTAATAATCTGACAAAAAGACCCCATGTAGGTCCAAATCCACCTCTCTCTTTTTTAATCTCGATAGGTCATTGTATAGGTCTTTTGCCGTGTGTATGTGAGGTAAGTCTTGGGAGCTACGTGGCCACAATACCAATTGTGCTTGCTCATCCGTAATAGATAAAGTTTCTGCTGTTTCTGATAATGCTCCAGCCTGGTGTAAAAAATCCTCCATATTAGATGGATCCTGATGGTGGTGAAAATCACTGTTTAGGTGATAAGCGGTTTGTTACATATGGGGGTGCTCTCGCAAGTGCCACGCTAGCACTTTGCATATGAATACAAAAAATGAATGGGCAAGGCACTCCACCCAAAAATCCTTCTAGTAAAGGCTCAAATGCCTGGGTGCAATCCCGCGTTCCAATATATATAAAAATCAATAAAGGGAGCACACCAGGACTTCAGTAAAGTGCAAAAAGTATTTACTGTATCCAAAACATGATACAAATTCTGTGTAGAGAGAATCAACGTTTCGACCCTACCGGGGTCTTTATCAAGATCACAGTGAAATGTGGTTATGGTGGATAATATATACATACAAATAAAGTGTCGCTTACCAATCAGATAGTTGAGACCCCGATCAGCTACAGACACCGGAAGTGAGAAGACCACGTGAACAGTGCATATCATGTGACTGGGTTACTGAGTAATCTGCGTGATAATACTACAAACAGAAGATCGGGTAGCCGGCGCCGCCGTGATACCCGGAAGTGCTCCAGACCACGTGGGGGTGGTCATGTGACAGAGAGTCATGTGACAAGGTTGCTAAGCAACCAGTCTAACAATGTCTAATTCTTCCTTTTCTAACCGGAGATCGAAGAAGCAGATAGCGAGTACTACATATGGAGGACAGAGTCAAATAAAAACCCCACTATAAGGATGATCTATAGGTGACAAAAAGTGCAAAGTGCAGAGGATCATATGCATGTGCAAAACAGTGAGAGGAATATATATAAACTACAAAGCAGATCAATCCCAGGTGATATATATATATATCTTACTTTGTACTTAAGGGTAAGTAGATAATACTTTTTATTTTATTATATTTATACTCAATCCATATAAAAGATAAAATGAGACAAAAAAAAATATAAGATTTCAGATTATGCCAATATACATAATAAAAGGAGAGTCACGGGACTGAGGGATTTTATAATATAAAACATAGTAAAATAACGTATCCCACACAGAAAGATACAGTAATAAACTTTAAAGGAAAAAAAGATATATAAAAGATTGCCAGCAGAAACAGACAGAACTGTTGATGCCTGACTGAGTAACTGCAGTGGCGCTCCACCCCTTGTCGAATATATATGTTCTACATAAGGCAAGAAATGGTTAGGGGTCGGTTGAACAAAAGGGGTTATTACTCTAGGAGACACTGTACCCGTGAAATGGTGAGATTCATCATATTAATAAAATAGTAGTAAGCTGTAACAACAGCGCTATAAATAAGAAAGTGACATAAAGACATAACCAAGTTCAGGTAGCAATAAACAGAAAATTGACTAAATTTTATAATAGGGAGCGTGATGTTTGGCAAATGTTTAAGTAAAGTTCCATTTCAATTGCCAAGGTAATTTACCCACAATCCTTCAGTCAAAATAATTCCACAGAAGGCAAACTGCTGGTATCATAGCAAGAGGAGAACAAAATGGCTGCGCCCAGGTACTGAGATATGGCACAAATAAGAAAATAAATAAATATATATATATATATATTTAACTAAATAAACAGAAGTGGCAATGGGGGAGTGTAATCGTTAAGATACAGGGGGTGAAAGGAAAGGTACACTGTAAGAAATAAATGTCAGCGCTGCTTTATTCCACGCGTACCGAGCCACCCGGTATTGAAAGAGTGCACAACCAGTTCAGGGATTCTATTCACGGAACAGTAAGCTGTAGTGAATTGAAAACAGAATTGCAAAATGTAGACAAAAAGTGTTGAACCCAGAAATATTCTGCAATTCAGCTATAATCACAGCTTGAATATTTTAGCCTAAATTATGGATTGACTGAGATTGTTGGTTTTCAGTTTATTACAATCAGCTGTTTAGTGAATAACTGGAAGGAATTCTCAATGAAAATGTATTCTATTTATAGCGCACATTGCTCTTTGGACTCTTTTACCAACACCTAAAATGTTAATTTTCCAGATGGAGGCTGAAGATCTGTCCGCAGCAAGATTGCCAATTGTGAACATGAAAGATTTGCCGCCGAATTACCATAACGAATCTATAACAGACACTAAAATTGGAAATAAAACCGTTCACACTGAGCAGCAAATTCTAAAGGTACGAGGGGTTCTGGGATAGGACAGTTTGAGGGCAAACCATATCTGAGAGCAGGAGGGAGGTATTTCTAACAATGGTAGTTATATAGAAAATGTGGAGTAATTACCATAGAAGCCAGAGAAATGTTGCTGTATGTAGCTGCGCTCACCACCTAAAACAAACAGGCCCCTCATTCGCCGCTATAGCGTTTTGCTTTATTAACCCCTTCGTACCAGTGGACATACATTGCACATAGCCTCAGTCATAAACTCTCATTAGCTTTAATGTATTTAACCTACACTCTTCACAGATATGTCTAAATATTTTTTTGCATGTATTTTGTTTTGCACTGCAAAATCTGCATATATTAATATTATGTATTGGCTCTAATGTATTACATATCAGCAGGTATTAGTAACTGTTCTTTATTATCACTTTATAGTACCTGAGTGACACATGCCAAAAATGATCACTTTAATTTGCAAGATTATTCGCAAAAATGTATGAATTTGGTCCAAATTGACAAATAGTAACTGAATTTCAAACGGATTTGCGCTTCTCATATTTATTTAAGAAACATGTAATTTGCAACCATCCGCTGTCTGCCTTAAAATCAATAAGGCCTCGATTTAATGTTTTCGGATACGCTTTTCAAATTATTCAAATCCTGTTAGAATAACTTTTCAAATGATTTATCTATAAAAAAAGAAAATCCCATAGACCTTAAAGGGACACTATAGTCACCAGAACCATTGCAGCTTAAAGGGACACTGTAGGTACCCAGACCACTTCAGCTCATTGAAGTGGTCTGGGTGCTTTGTCCCTTTTGCCCTTAGTGCTGCAATGTTAAACATAGCAGCTCCAGAGATACTTCAATGTTTACATTGCAGCTCTAAGTCTGCCCTCAGTGACTGTCTACTAGACAGCTACTAGAGGGCTTCCTGAATTGAAACGGACCTTTGGTCCGGTACCTGACGCTGGACATCCTCATGCTCTGCATGAAGACCTTCAGTGTCAGATTTTCCCCCATAGGAAGCATTGATTCAATGCTTTCTTATTGGAAGGTCTAATGCCCACACAGCATTTGCCGCGCATTCGCATTAACGCCCACTCGTCACGGGACGTTGGAGGGGGCAGAACTTTGACCAAACACAGAGGGACATTGCCGCTGGGATCAGGGAAGCAAATAAAGGGATTTAACCCTTTATTTAAGGGTGAAGAGGGGAGTGAGGGAGGGGAGAGGCAGGGGGAGCGATCGTGCCAGGAATACAGCTTTGTATTCCTGGCACTATAGTATCCCTTTTAATGTGGGAGAAAAGGTAAGCTTAATACCTTTTCAGAGTGATCTGAGGGGGCCAGGAAATGAAACAGTTAGTTTAACACTAAGCGTTGGGAATACATGTTTGTGTTTCTGACACTATAGTGTCCCCTTAAAGGACCACTATAGTGCCAGGAAAACATACTCGTTTTCCTGGCACTATAGTGCCCTGAGGGTGCCCCCACCATCAGGGTCCCCCTCCCGCCGGGCTCTGGGGAGAGAAAAGGGTTAAATCTTACCTTTTTTCCAGCGCCAGGCGGGGAGCTCTCCTCCTCCTCTCCGATCCTCCTCTTCGGCTGAATGCGCATGCGCGGCAGGAGCTGCGCGCGCATTCAGTCAGTCTCATAGGAAAGCATTTATAATGCTTTCCTATGGACGGCAGCTTCTTCTCACTGTGATTTTCACAGTAAGAAGCACGCAAACGCCTCTAGCGGCTGTCTCTGAAACTGCTATGTTTATAAAAAAAAGGGTTAATCCTAGAGGGACCTGGCACCCAGACCACTTCATTAAGCTGAAGTGGTCTGGGTGCCTAGAGAGGTCCTTTAATGGTGTCTTTGTAGTCAAATCATTTAAAAAACTTTTCCAACAGATTGTGATAATTTGGAAAGCGTATCCAAAAGAATTAAATCAAGATCCAATTCTCATCTTTGCAAATACTCTATTCTTTGGATGTACATTAAATACACGTTATTCTGTGACATGAAACACTTGTCTTGTCTCACTTTTTTTCTGCAGGCAACAGACAACCAAACAGGATCCACTTTCTATGCAGAGTCTATATTTTCATCAGTGAGAAACAAAAAGAATTACGTAAGTCTCTTCATTACTGTATGAGATGTCGCTATAAGGTGCCAAAATCAATTTTATATACACGCCCAAAGAATATACGCAGAACTAAATGCATTAATATTTTAGTGATTCTTGGTAAACAAATAAAATGAAAGTGCCTCTTTAAAAGGTTGGCTGAAACTTGATGTGTTTTACTGAAGAATATACCAGTACATACACTATATGGTAAAAAGTATTGGGACGCACATCAATTATTGAATTTAGGTGTTACAATCAGACCCATTTCCCTCCCTCGCACCACCCCTGCCCCCACTTCCCCTTGTGGTGCAGAAGGGGTTAGAACCCCTTCTGTCACCTACTTGGGTCCAGTGCCGATGTCCCTTGGTGCTGGTATGGGTCTTCTGCTGGTATGGGCCTTATCTCCTCCCTTGACTCGCCAACAGCCGGCTGGGGAGACCTAATGCGCATGCGCAACAATGCTGGCGCTCTCATTAGGATTTCCCCGTAGGAAACCATTATTCTATGGGGTTTTGGGTGATGCTGGATGTCCCCAGACATAGCATGAGGACGTACAGCGTCAGTTAAGCGACCAAAAGTCGCCTAAAAGCTCGGAAGTACCTTTAGTTGTAGTCGGGTAGACAGCCATTAGAGGTGGAGTTAACCCTAGCAGGTAATTATTGCAGTTCATTAAAAATTGCAATAATTACCTTTGCAAGGTTAAGGGACCTGGGACACTGCACCCAGGCCATTTCAATGAGCTAAAGTGGTCTGGATGCCTATAGTGTCCCTTTAATGAGGATTGTGTGGGATCCCTGTTCATTCGTTTGCGGTAGCAGAGCCGCATAAGATTCTCTCTGTGTATGTTGGACCCGTAGAGATATTATTGTACTGATCTCACTTATTGATCCCTTCTGGTTATAAGGTGGTCCTTCTGACCCCCCCTTTCTCAGTGTTTCATTGAAGATAAACGACGTTCCCAGAAGATAAACTTTGCTCTTGTTCGACCAGCTGTTCTTATATATGAAGGGTTTGAAGAATTGAAAATTAGCTGATTTTGCCATTATTTATTTATATTAATTGATTAAGTGTACATAGGACACTGTACAAGTCATTGAATATACATTTTATATTCAATTAATGTTTTCTTATGAAATCTCATTTTTTATTAAGAATGTGGAGAGTTAGACATGGATGACATCAATCATACAGTGAATATGATGGGTCCTCTGATGGCATTATCAAAGCATCAGGCACTTCTGGTTCAGTAAGATCTGACAATCTATCCTTTGATTACCTCGGCTATAGACTAGTAGCATTCATGTTCAGTTAATTATTTTAATGGTCTCAGATCTCGACGGAAGTATGTTGCTTAAATTATGTTTTCACACAATGAATTCATGAATAATATTACTAATAATAATTATAACAAGCAAAGCATGGGGGGCTGAGTGTGGAAGATGTAAAATGACAAAACATGGAGTCACTGGCTGAGTGCTCTATACTGGGACATGCGACATGGTCACGTACTTATATAGATAAGTCAGAAGAGGACATTTCACTTACACTTACTCTAGATAGACACACGAATTGTCTCTCTGACACTGGACTGCTAATAGCAGGAAAGGTGTGTGTGACAGTTTGCAGGGAACCTCATTGCTTCTCTTAGGGGGTGATTGCAATGTCCAGATATTATCTGTGAGTAAAGATGAGTGTGACAATTCTTTCATTTCTGAGTCCAGTAAATAGGATTATTTATTTTTACCCCTTCAGGAACAAGGCTTTTGTTTGAGATCCGACGTCTTTTTATGGAGAAATAGGGCTTTCTTTTAACCCCTTAAGGACACAACGTCTGGAATAAAAAGGAATCATGACGGAATATTTCCGTTATGTGTCCTTAAGGGGTTAATAACCTATATGTATACATTATGCAATATTAAATATTATTAAAACTTTACAAAAATTTTTAAAAAACTATTTTTTTTTCTCATGTTTTATCTAATAATTTCTACACACCAAAACCCTGGCACAAAATAGATTCACTAATTAGCCCTGATTGTTAAAATGCCCAATGTGTCTAGGATTTCAAATAATTTTTTTAGAATTTAGAAAATAAATATTGCCTGGTTGGAATTACGGTTTTAAAGTTATAACTTTTCAGAATTCGGCAAGCTGAGATACCTTGCCCTAGGAATCTGCCAAACCCTGAATGGACTAAAAAACATTTTTATTCACAATCCAAGCTGGCAGATATTTCAGAAAATGTACAATAAAAACATATATAAAAAAAAAAATTCAAATAACGCTTTTACCATTTTTAAAACCTGCTCGATGAGCGAAGATACACATTGCCATATTGTGTTTTTTTGTAACGCTGCGTTTAAATGTCTTGATGACTCACACTGTGTCTCAGACATGCCAGCTTAATGTCTGCCTCATATTAGCAGACAGATGTTGAAATAATTAATACATTAAGTGCATGCAGACGTGTCCTTACGTAAGTGCAAATATGCTCTTTACAACCTCAGACACATCTATCTCTGTGCTCCAGGACCGCGTCACTGTAACCTGGACTCGGGTGACTCAGCCGCAATCGTTCTGTTTTTCGAGCTTTCTACATTTTGCTTGTTAACATTTTTGTTGATAACTATTGCATTCTCTCATCGTCTACCCTTGATTGCTTTTGTATTTGTTCTGAATTTTCATGTAGTGGTCCCATGAAAATGTACGGATCAGCCTTTTCTCCTCCCTCGCCTCGCCATCAGCTGGCTGGGGAGACCTAATGAGCATGCGCAACAATGAAAGCGCTCTCATTAGCTGGCCGCTAGTATGTTTCTTGACAGTTCCATGTTGCGAGGATGTGATGGTTTAGTGTCTGCCCTGCGGTATTTTTTAAAACGTGCAATAATTTGTTCTGAGCGATTCTTGGTAATTGTCTAGTGAATTGGTTCCAAATCATTTTACCTGCAGTTTTAGGTGTGAAGTCTACAGATGAGAGCAATTCAGAATCCATTAACGGGAATTTTATTTGGACTTACCAACTCAAACTAATTTTTGCACAAGTCTAGTATTCATAGCACCCAGAGCAGGTTCATTTCATGGTGATGCTACTTTTACCTTTTACGATTCCCAGGTCAATATAACAAGCTCCATTTAGTTAGGTAATAATCTCAGTTATCACAGAAGATTATTTGTGGTGTTTGCTATGCTAACTGGAATTTAAAAAAATATATATAAAAATCTATTTATATCAGATAATGATTTGGGTAGAATTGTGGCGTGGAAGGGGTTAAGGATAGCTAACCTTTTATATTTCCCTACATTTGCACACTGCAGAGCAAGACAAGACATTATATCTGCTTTTATCACAATAAAAGATAAACACGTGGAGTCGGTGCGTAATGGCAGAAATATCACGAGATGTAGTGCTTGCCAGGGACAGATGGATCACGGCAGCTTATATTAGGAATGGTCTGAGTTTGTTTGTTTGTAATGGCCACATACCATATAAGCCACATATTGGCTTTGTGAATGCTTCCTTGTCTGCTCTGTGCGGAGTGAGCAATCGCAATACTTAGAATGTAATGCTCTTATCTCTCCAGACCCTGTTTATATCAGGAAATGAAAAAGATATCACAGCCAGTATCCACAGCAAGCAAATAAAGGCAATATTTTATTAACAATCCTGGCTGGTCACAACCTAGATCCAGTAACTGGTGCATCATGGGCGTTGTAGTTCTACAACGGATGGGCATCCGCCTCTTGGGCACTCCTGAATAAGCTCTGACTGTTTGGGAGACACGGTTTAATCCAGAAAGTTATAAATACACATTTTCCAGTCCAGGCAGAGTTTGATTTAACACATCTGTCCTCTCTTTCATTTTTTTGTTTAATTTTTAGAAAAAAACTAGGTCAATTAGGTGGGAATTGCAATTTGTGACAATTAACCTGCAGTATTTTTCAAACAAATTGTGACATTATATTTCCTCTGTTCTGTACTGCATAGCCAACATATTTCTATTTCCTTCATATTACATTTCTGACGTTTGTTTCCTCAAGAAAAATATGAAAAAATCCTCTGTATTCAGTATTAACCCGACATCCCATTAACCTGGCATCTATTAACCGGGTACCAATTAACTTGGCATCTATTAACCCTGTACCCAATACTTGGCATCCCTCTAATCTAGTACCCATTAACCTGGCATCTATTAACCTGGTACCCATTACCTGGCATCCCTCTAATCTAGTACCCATTAACCTGGCATCTATTAACCCAGTACCCATTACCTGGCATCCCTCTAATCTAGTACCCATTAACCTGGGATCTATTATCCCGGTACCCGTTACCTGGCATCCCTCTAATCTAGTACCCATTAACTGGGCATCTATTAACCCGGGACCCATTACCTGGCATCCCTCTAATCTAGTACGCATTAACCTGGCATCTATTAACCTGACACCCAATACCTGGCATCCCTCTAATCTAGTACCCATTAACCTGGCATCTATTAACCCGGTACCCATTACCTGGCATCTCTCTAATCTAGTACCCAAGAACTTGGCATCTATTAACCCAGTACCCAATACCTGGCATCCCTCTAATCTAGTACCCATTAACCTGGCATCTATTAACCCGGTACCCATTTCCTGGCATCCCTCTAATCTAGTACCCATTAACCTGGCATCTATTAACCCGGTACCCATTACCTGGCATCCCTCTAATCTAGTACCCATTAACCTGGGATCTATTAACCCGGTACCCATTACCTGGCATCCCTCTAATCTAGTACCCATTAACCGGGCATCTATTAACCCGGGACCCATTAACCTGGCATCTATTAACCTGACACCCAATACCTGGCATCCCTCTAATCTAGTACCCATTAACCTGGCATCTATTAACCCGGTACCCATTACCTGGCATCTCTCTAATCTAGTACCCATTAACTTGGCATCTATTAACCTGACATCCCATTAACCTGGCATCTATTAACCCGGTACCCATTACCTGGCATCCCTCTAATCTAGTACCCATTAACATGGCATCTATTAACCCGGTACCCATTACCTGGCATCCCTCTAATCTAGTACCCATTAAATTGGCATCTATTAACCCGGTACCCATTACCTGGCATCCCTCTAATCTAGTACCCAGTCACTTGGCATCTATTAACCCGGTACCCAATACCTGGCATCCCTCTAATCCAGTACCCATTAACCTGACATCTATTAACCCAATACCCATTACCTGGCATCCTTCTAATCTAGTACCCATTAACCTGGCATCTATTAACCCGGTACCCATTACCTGGCATCCCTCTAATCTAGTACCCATCTATTAACCCGGTACCCATTACCTGGCATCCTTCTACTCTAGTACCCATTAACCTGGCATCTATTAACCCGGTACCCATTACCTGGCATCCCTCTAATCTAGTACCCATTAACTTGGCATCTATTAACCTGGTACCTATTACATGGCATCCCTCTAATCTAGTACCCATTAACTTGGCATCTATTAACCCAGTACCCAATACCTGGCATCCCTCTAATCTAGTACCCATTAACCTGGCATCTATTAACCCGGTACCCATTTCCTGGCATCCCTCTAATCTAGTACCCATTAACTTGGCATCTATTAACCCGGTACCCATTACCTGGCATCCCTCTAATCTAGTACCTGTTAACTTGGCATCTATTAACATAGAAACATAGAAACATAGAAACATAGAATGTGACGGCAGATAAGAATCATTCGGCCCATCTAGTCTGCCCAATTTTCTAAATACTTTCATTAGTCCCTAGCCTTATCTTATAGTTAGGATAGCCTTATGCCTATCCCACGCATGCTTAAACTCCTTTACTGTGTTAACCTCTACCACTTCAGCTGGAAGGCTATTCCATGCATCCACTACCCTCTCAGTAAGTAATACTTCCTGATATTATTTTTAAACCTTTGTCCCTCTAATTTAAGATTATGTCCTCTTGTTGTGGTAGTTTTTCTTCTTTTAAATATAGTCTCCTCCTTTACTGTGTTGATTCCTTTATATATTTAAATGTTTCTATCATATCCCCCCTGTCTCGTCTTTCCTCCAAGCTATACATGTTAAGATCCTTTTAACCTTTCCTGGTAAGTTTTATCCCGCAATCCATGAACCAGTTTAGTAGCCCTTCTCTGAACCCTCTCTAAGGTATCAATATCCTTCTGAAGATACGGTCTCCAGTACTGTGTACAATACTCCAAGTGAGGTCTCACCGGTGTTCTGTATAATGGCATGAGCACTTCCCTCTTTCTACTGCTAATACCTCTCCCTATACAACCAAGCATTCAGCTAGCATTTCCTGCTGCTCTATTACATTGTCTGCCTACCTTTAAGTCATCAGAAATAATCACCCCTAAATCCCTTTCCTCATATGTTGAGGTTAGAACTCTATCAAATATTCTGTACTCTGCCCTTGGGTTTTTACGTCCAAGATGCATTATCTTGCACTTATCCACATTAAATGTCAGTTGCCACAATTCTGACCATTTTTCTAGTTTACCTAAATCATTTGCCATTTGGCTTATCCCTCCTGGAACATCAACCCTGTTACATATCTTAGTATCATCAGCAAAAAGACATACCTTACCATCAAGACCTTCTGCAATATCACTAATAAAAATATTAAAGAGAATGGGTCCAAGTACAGATCCCTGAGGTACCCCACTGGTGACAAGTCCAAGCTTCGAATATATTCCATTAACTACAACCCTCTGTTGCCTGTCACTCAGCCACTGCCTTACCCATTCAACAATATTGGAATCCAAACTTAAAGATTGCAGTTTATTGATAAGCCTTCTATGTGCAACAGTGTCAAAAGCCTTACTGAAATCTAGGTAAGCAATGTCTACTGCACCACCCTGATCTATAATTTTAGTTACCCAATCAAAAAATCAATAAGATTAGTTTGGCATGATCTCCCTGAAGTAAACCCATGTTGTCTCTGATCTTGAAATCCATGTGTTTTTAGATGTTCATCAATCCTATCCTTTAACATGGTTTCCATCACTTTCCCCACTACTGAAGTAAGGCTTACTGGCCTATAGTTGCCCGACTCCTCCCTATTACCTTTCTTGTAAATGGGCACAACATTCGCTAACTTCCAATCTTCTGGGACTACTCCTGTTAACAATGATTGGTTAAATAAATCTGTTAATGGTTTTGCTAGTACACCACTAAGCTCTTTTAATAGCTTTGGGTGTATTCCATCAGGTCCCATTGACTTATTTGTCTTTACTTTTGACTGTTGAAATAGAACCTCTTCCTCTGTAAACTCACGTGTAATAAATGACTCATTTATCCTTTTTCTCAACTGAGGTCCCTTTCCTTCATTTTCTTCTGTAAATACAGAACAAAAATATTCATTGAGGCAGTCAGCCTGACCTTTATCCTCTTCTACATACCTTCCTTCTTTTGTTTTTAATCTAACTAATCCTTGTTTTACTTTTCTTTTCTCATTTATGTATCTAAAAAATGTTTTATCCCCCTTTTTTACTGACTGTGCTATTTTCTCTTCTGTGTGTGATTTGGAAGCTCTTATAACTTGCTTAGCCTCTTTCTGCCTAATCTTATAGATCATTTTGTCTTCCTCACTCTGGGTTTTTTTATAATTCCTAAATGCTAACTTTTTGTTTTTAACTATTTTGGCCACATCTGCGGAGTACCACAGTGGTTTCTTGAATTTTTTGCTTTTACTGACAAGCCTAATGCAATTTTCTGTTGCCTTCAATAGTGCAACTTTTAAATAATCCCATTTCTCTTGGACTCCATTTAAATTGCTCCAGTCTGATAATGACTCCTCTACCCATATTCTAATTTTAGAAAAGTCTGTTTTTCTAAAGTCTAAAACTTTTGTTTTTGTGTGGTGTGACTCAGTCACTGTTCTTATATTAAACCACACTGACTGATGATCACTGGATCCTAAACTTTCACCTACAGTAATATCTGATACCAAATCTCCATTTGTTAACACTAAATCTAGTATGGCCTCTTTACGAGTTGGCTCCTCAACAACTTGTTTTAGAGACAATCCCAGTAGGGAGTTTAGAATATGTGTGCTCCTGGCACAAGTAGCTAATTTTGTTTTCCAATTTACATCAGGAAGATTAAAGTCACCCATGATGATAACTTCCCCCTTCATTGTCATTTTAGCTATTTCCTCAACTAGTAGATTATCTAACTCTTCAATTTGTCCTGGGGGCCTATAAATCACACCTACACGAGTTACTGTGTGATTACCAAATTCTAACGTAGCCCAAACGGACTCTATGTTTGCCTCACTAACTTTTATTAGGCTAGATTTTATGCTATCCTTCACATACAAGGCCACCCCTCCCCCTTTCTTGCCTTCCCTATCTTTCCTATATAAAGAGTACCCTGATATTGCTATGTCCCAGTCATTTTTCTCATTGTACCATGTCTAACCTGACATCCCATTGACCTGGCATCCCTTTAATCTAGTACTCATTAGCCAGCCATCTCATTAACCCAGCATACATTAGTCTGGCATCTCATTAATCTGGTACCCAGTATACTGGCACCCATTAACCTGGCAACCCACTAACTTCTTACCTATTAACCTGGCACCTATTAACCAGCTACCCCTGACTTAGGCCCAGGCAACCTGTTGGTGAATACGGAATTTTAAACACACATTACAGCTTAATGCACTGTTAGAAAATGTGCATTATATGAGCTATATTGATTATTTTGTGGGTAAAAACCAATGACTTTGAGTTTATCGCGCTACCGACACTATAATAATAAAGCACATTACCAAATATACACCCAATCCAGTGCGACAGTAAGAGAGCAATTACGTGCGCATGCTCTCCTAACATCATGGTACGTGTGGATATGAGAGCCAGGAAGTAACAGTCTTGGCTATCTAATTCAGAGGGCTTGGAGGGGTGGCTTGAAACTGTGATCCCAAGTCTTCAAATTATTAAAATCTAGGAATTTAAAATCTAGGACACATTGTAACTACGGAAGGCACTCTAGCAATTTCAGTTAGATGAAGTTGTTATAGTAAGTACTGTGATCTTTTAAGGATATTCAGTTAACCATTCAACAACCGCAGGCTAATGCTAAAGAAGTTCCAAGTTTTACTTTAACGCTTTGAGAGATTTCACTTTGAGGAAGAACCCTGCAATATCTCCCTTTGTAAAATCTGATGGCCCCTTAGTAAATTTCTCCCAGTTTCTAGTTCCATACGTGATGATCTGACATAACTAACTCGTGTCGCGTGCAGTGTTCCTGTATTGGTATAAAGAGTTAACCAGGCTCCGAGACCATAGCAAATAGGCCGCTGTTCAGATGAGATATTAGATTGTGTTTCTATGGGCATGGTGCAGTGATAAGCAGGAAATATCAATAAAGCTTAATTTCTCCACCAGCCTCTGTACAGTTTGTGCTCGGCAATTAGAGGAAGAATCGGAAATATAAACAATCATTTCTTTCTAATTAGATCCAACATGGCATTACAGATACGCAGGACAGTTGCAGGCGCTGGATGTTTGGCGAGACATTGGATTTGTAAAGACAAACAGCAATATATTAAAAAATATTGATCTTGGAGTTATTGAGAATGATATTTTTGTGTCTGAATAAGCTCTGTGAAGTTATCTCTATGATCTGGACTGCCCATATGGGTCGGACCAGTCTGATATGTTTCAGAGATGTTCTCTCTGTAATGGCACAAGATGAGCAAAAATCAGCTTGAGAACTGAGCGGGGACCAACCGAAGGGCAGGCTATTTCAGCTGCTGCCTGTTCTCAGTATTCTCTTGCGACCCATTTTTGAATATCTATGAACTGTTTAAAAAAAGGAATCATTGACGTGACAGTAAACATTAACTTAATAGTAAAATTGCAAGTGCTTAAATAAAGTAGGAAATTCTTTAAGTGTTTGTATCATTTGTGCATATTTTTTGTCAACTTTCATTAATCAATAGAGTAGGAAACATCTGCCTTAACCAAGCATAGACATAATTCTTCCATTTAATGGACAGTTTAAAGTGTCAAAGTACCATAACCTGCACCTGTAGGGAAGGTTTATGGGTTAAGATCAGACCCCTAGACAAGAAATAGGCTTCTGATTGGTTGAGTCTCTTCCTGGTCTGTGAGGAAGTCTGTGCGGCACTTGACTTTGCCCATTGTGTCCCTTTAATCTTAGGCTGTCATGTGACAGAAGTTATAGGAGCAGGCTTTGCTGCTATAGCAACAGAGTGAAATGAATGTATAAAACTACTGAACCCAGAATCCTGTTTCTTATTGCTTTGAACTTTGAAAACTGCTTGGCTGAAATAGCAGGTTTAATGTATTTGTTGTTGGTTTGCTGATTCAGTGGAAATTTAACAGGATCCTTTTAAATCCCCCAGATAATTCAACGCCCAAAACAGTAAATTGTGGTAAACTGAACACTGATTTTCAAAAGGTTACGACAGAATAGCTACGCTGGAGTTAAAGATAATTTTAAAGAAAATGTTTTATGGAAAAAAAACACACAAATTGATTAAACGGTTTGAGTTAAATTTAAGTTCAGACTAATTATTCTACAGCATATAAACCAGGCTTCCCCAAACTCCGGCCCTCCAGATATTGCTGAACTACCACTCCCGTTATTCTATGAATGAAATAGATAGGCTTAGAATCTTGGGAGTTGTAGTTCAACAACATTTGGAGGGCCGGAGTTTGGGGAAGCCTGATATAAATGGTTGACTTCAAGAAATCAACTCAGTTATGTGGGTGTATTTGAATAACTTTGCCTTTATTATTTTCCTAAAGGAATTGTAGTAATTATTATAGATGTTACTAATCAAGTAGTTACACATGCTGCAAGCGAAATGTATATATTTCTGATTGTGTTTTGCAGCACGGAGATATTAGATAATTAATGTATTTTATTTATGTAATTTTATTTTTTTAGGACTGTATTGTCGATGACGACTGTCAGAATAGGACTTACTGTCATTTCGAAAAATCTCAATATAAATGTCTTCCATGCAGAAATGAAGGCACAGTAAGTATTAGAGTCCTGAGCGGAAACAGCTCATTATATCAGGAGTTTACCTACTTTATCACAGGTTTATTGTGCAGAGAGTTTTGTTTGCATTATCCTTAAATCAGTGGAACGCCAATCTAAACCTAAAAGAAAGAAGCAAGACTTGTATTTTTACTTAAAGGGCAAAAAAAAAAAAAAAATTACACTCCTATGCATATAGTGCAGTGCAGGGTGTGTATAATGAATGTAGTGTGTTTGTAGTGAATGCAGAGTGTGTATAATGAATGCAGTGTGTTTTAGTGAGTGCAGAGTGTGTACACTGAATGCAGTGTGTTTGTAGTGAATGCAGAGTGTGTATAGTGAATGTAGTGTGTAGTGAGTGCAGAATGTGCATAATAAATGCAGAGTGTGTATAGTGAATGCAGAGGGTGTATAGTGAATGTAGTGTGTTTGTAGTGAGTGAAGAGTGTGTATAATGAATGCAGTGTGTGCGTGTGCGCGCTGGATGACGTGTGTGTGAGTGCTGGATGATGTGTGTGCTGGATGATGTGTGTGCGAGTGCTGGATGATGTGTGTGCGAGCTGGATGATGTGTGTGTGTGTGCGCTGGATGATGTGTGTGTGTGTGCTGGATGATGTGTGTGTGTGTGCTGGATGATGGGTGTGGGAGTGCTGGATGATGTGTGTGCTGGATGATGTGTGTGCTGATGTGTGTGTGTGCTGGATGATGTGTGTGTGTGTGCTGGATGATGTGTGTGTGTGTGTGTGTGTGCTGGATGATTGTGTGTGTGCTGGATGATTGTGTGTGTGTGTGCTGGATGATGTGTGTGTGTGTGTGCGTGCTGGATGATGGGTGTGTGAGTGAGTGCTGGATGATGGGGAGGGGAAGCATTTTTTTTTAACTTTATGTGTTTATTTTATTCCCCCCTCCCTGCTTCTTACCTTGTCAGGGAGGGGGGAGATCGCCTGGTGGTCCGGTGGAGGGAGCCAGCCGCTGCACACAGGGGCCATCACACGCTGTGTTCCCTCTCCAGCTCTAACTCTCGCGAGACTCGCCTGTGCGGAGCGTTGCCATGGTAACAGCCGCGGGTCTCGCGAGAGTTATAGCTGGAGAGGGAACACAGCGTGTGCTGGCCCCTCTGTGCAGGTAGCAGGGCCGGTCCTGCAGGACAGGTAACGGGAACGGCGTTCCTGCTTTGGAAAAAGTGCAGGAACGCCGTTCCCATGCGTTCCTGCAAGACTCGAGCCCTGCTCCAGGCTCCCACACATTAGGTGCACTGTGTAGGTTAGGTTACAGTTAGTTTTACTGGGTGGGTTTATATTATTAAAGGGACACTCCAGGCTCCCACACACGTTAGGTGCACTGTGTAGGTTAGGTTACAGTTATACTGGGTGGGTTTATATTATTAAAGGGACACTCCAGGCTCCCACACACGTTAGGTGCACTGTGTAGGTTAGGTTACAGTTAGTTATACTGGGTGGGTTTATATTATTAAAGGGACACTCCAGGCTCCCACACACGTTAGATGCACTGTGTAGGTTAGGTTACAGTTAGTTATACTGGGTGGGTTTATATTATTAAAGGGACACTCCAGGCTCCCACACACGTTAGATGCACTGTGTAGGTTAGGTTACAGTTAGTTATACTGGGTGGGTTTATATTATTAAAGGGACACTCCAGACTCCCACACACGTTAGGTGCACTGTGTAGGTTAGGTTACAGTTATACTGGGTGGGTTTATATTATTAAAGGGACAATCCAGGCTCCCACACACGTTAGGTGCACTGTGTAGGTTAGGTTACAGTTAGTTATACTGGGTGGGTTTATATTATTAAAGGGACACTGCAGGCTCCCATACAAGGAGGGTAGCAGTGTTTGATGCCAGGCGGTTAGTGAAGGAGGGTCGTGGTGTTTAATGCCAGGTGGTTAGTGAAGGAGGGTAGTGGTGTTTAATGCCAGGCGCAGTGGCGTACATTCCGGGGTCGCAGAGGTCGTGGCTGTGACCGGGCCTGGCCCACCAGGGGGCCCAGCCGCCCTGTGACCCGGTATGTACACCATTGTGGCCAGCCTCTTCTCCTGGTGTCACCGGGCGGCTGTTCCTGCGGGCGTGCGAGGGAGCACTCTCCCTGGCTGAGTGCTCTCTACCCAGCTCCCTCGCGCACCGCACTGATGCCGGAGCCGGAATATGACGTCATATTCCGGCTCCGGCATCAGTAAGCGGCGTGCAAGGGAGTTGGGCAGAGAGCACTCAGCCAGGGAGCGTGCTCCCTCGCGCGCCCGCAGGACCGGCCCCCCGGGCAGCCCACTGGACAGACAGCCAGAGAGCCAGCCAGACCGCCCGGTGACCGGCTGCCCAGTAGCATCACTGGACCCCAGGGAATCCCCTCAGCTCTCCCAAAGGTAAGGAAGCTGGGGAATTAAATTTTAAAGAAACATGTGTGTGTGTGTCTGTTAGAGTGTGTGTGTGTGTGTTAGTTTTTGTGTCAGTGTGTGTGTGTTACTGTGTGTGTGTCTGCTAGTGAGTGTCAGTGAGTGTGTTAGTTTTTGTGTGTTAGTTTGTGTGTGTCTGTTATTGAGTGTGTGTCTGCTAGTGAGTGTCAGTGAGTGTGTTACTGTGTGAGTGTGTTACTGTATGTGTCTGTTACTGAGTGTGTTAGTTTGTGTGTGTCTGTTAGTGAGTCTGTTTGATGTCTGTTAGTGAGTGTGTGTTTGTCAGTGAGAGTATGTTTTGTAAGTGAGTGTGTATGTGTGTCTGTCTGTCAGTGAGTGTTTATGTATGTAGCCGAGTGTCTCTGTCAGTAAATGTGTGTATCTGTTAGCTAGTGTGTATGCATCTATTCGTGAGAGTGTGTGTGTTTAAAACCCCTTCAGCACTTACCTGCCAAGGAAGTTCGGCGCTGGGGATCCCTCTGCCCCAATCCGCCTCTCAGCTCTGAATGCGCATGCTGGCAAGAGCCGCGCGCGCGCATTCAAACCGCCCATAGGAAAGCATTACTCAATGCTTTCCTATGGACGTCCAGCATCTTCTCACTGTGATTTTCACAGTGAGAATCGCGGTAGCACCTCTAGCGGCTGTAAGTGAGACAGTCACTAGAGGCTGGATTAACCCTCAGTGAAACAGCAGTTTCTCTGAAACTGCTATGTTTTCAGCTGCAGGGTTAAAACTAGAGGGACCTGGCACCCAGACGACTTCATTGAGCTGATGTGATCTGGGTATCTGTAGTGGTCCTTTAAGTGTGTGTGTGTCTGCATGCATGGGCGTACATATCCCAATCGCAGGGGTCGCCACCATGTTTTCCGGCCCGCGCAGAGTGGGGGTGGGGGGGGGCACGGATCAATTTTCGCACCGGGGCCCTATGGGTCATGTGTACGTCACTGGCCAGGCGGTTAGTGAAGGAGGGTTGAAGTGTTTGATGTCAGGTGGTTAGTGAAGGAGGGTAGCAGTGTTTGATGCCAGGTGTAAAGGAGCGTAGTGGTGTTTGTCACAAAGAGTAGTGACAATCTATTCTATTTCAGTGCATGCGAGATGGTGAATGCTGTGATGGGCAGCTGTGTGTCTGGGGCCAGTGCACCATGTCAACAAAGGGAGCAAGTGGCACCATCTGCGAGAGCCAACAGGACTGCAGTGCCGGACTCTGCTGCTCCATTCAGTCAAGTAAATGATTACATCACTTTTAGTGATGTCCCGAACGGTTCGCCGAACAGTTCGCCACGGACGGCGAACATATGCGGTAAACTCTGACCCTGTACCTCACAGTCATCAGACACATTCCAGCCAATCAGCAGCAGACCCTCCCTCCCAGACCCTCCCACCTCCTGGACAGCATCCATTTTACATTCATTGTGAAGCTGCATTCTTAGTGAGCTGTCCAGGAGGTGTGAGGGTCTGGGAGGGAGGGTCTGCTGCTGATTGGCTGGAATGTGTCTGCTGACTGTGAGTTACAGGGTCAAAGTTTACCGCATATGTTCGCCGTCCGTGGCGAACCGTTCGGGACATCACTAATCACTTTGTTTTATATTGTATATGAAGTGTAAATAATTTTACTTTCACAGATTTTATAGAATGATAAGATATTATCTATTCAGTAATTAGACACTGCAAGCAACACAACTACTGCAGATTCTTGTATTATTACAGCTTATTGTGTTATTACAGCTTTTTTGTATTATTACAGCTTATTGTGTTATTGCAGCTTATTATGTTATTACAGCTTTTTTGTATTATTACAGATAATTGCACAGGTTGTTGCAGTAGAGGCTTGTCCATAGGGACTTGGGGCAGCGCCCCACCAGCGTTTATGTGGGGGGATTTATTTGCAATAGGTTAGAAACACTAAGATATTTTTTCTAGAGTGGAGGGAGGGTGGTAAGTCAAACATAGGGGGAAAAAGTGTGTCTGTTTAATTCTATTATATGTTTCAGTAATGTAGGGCTCCTCCCTCTACTTGGTAGCTGTTTGTGGAAGCTTACTTAAGAGCATTTAGGCATGTCAATAAATTGGGGCAGGTTTGAAATCTGTCCTGTTTCAGCAAGTTTTGCACATGCCCAGTGTTTACGAAGTGACCATTCGGGTCAGCCAGCTGCCCATGAGTGGAGGCATGCTATTGGCCTCTCTATTCAGGGGCCATCATTGGCTAATAGTAGCAGGGGGTGTGGTGCAGTGCCATCTTGGAAATAGCAGAAGTAGAGCACACCAGCAGCCGCTCCTTGCCCCTGCCAAATATACATGTAGAATATTATCTTTTTATTTCCCCCAATAGCCCTACTGACTGCCTGAGGACTGATTAACCAAGGGAATTAACTCAAATATGTAATGCGACTCTGAGGACTGATCTGATTCCAATCTATTTTAATATGTAATGATTTGTGATTCTGTTAACCATGTCAGCTACGTCTATCGGTATCCTGCAGGTTTAACCCTGTGTACATGGGGTGTTAGGAACTAATAGTGAGCCAGGAGCAGCTGACATGGTTGGAGTCTAACCTATCTTGATGCTTTACGCTATGCACACTGTGTGCTGAGAGCTAATTGAGTAGCTGACATGTTTCATAACAGTAGCATTATTTAATGGAAAGCAGTTATCATAGCTGGAACACTACTGAAGGTTAGATCATGAAAAGGAAAGAGCCAAGAGAGGGCTAGGTAGATAGAGAGAGAGATCTGCAGCATTATACAGAGATGTACTCTGTGGGGATCTCTGTATTGCAGCTCTGTGTAATCCATCACAGTGATGGCTGTGTGAGATAGTTATTATGCCCAGCTCTGTGGGTTATTTCTCTGTATTTTACTCAGCTCTGCCTGTTGTATAGGTATCTCTGTAGTCTACAGAGCTCTGTGTATTATATAGGTATATTTGTATTGTACCCATACTTGTAATTGAAACATACTTTTTAAAGCGACACAGTAGGCACCCAGAACACTTCAGCTTATTGAAGAGGTCTGGGTGCAATGTCCCATGACACCCTACAGTGGTAATTATTGTAGTTTCTGAGAAACTGCAATAATTACCTTGCAGGGTTAACTGCTCTAGTGGCTGTCTACCAGACAGCCACTAGAGGGACTTCTGGCATTGAAACGGACCTTCGGTCCGTTATCTGACGCTTGATGTCCTCACTGTCACAACTGCTAGTGTGGTCCAACACACAGAAACTGTAAATGTAAGCATTTACATAGAAAACAAAAAGGAAATAAAAGGATTGAACGTCCTTAGAATGGCCGGACTAATATGTTAGAGACAGAGAATGGTCAAAGGGAAAGCTGAGGTCAAGGAAGCCAGAAATACACAATACCGTTTAAACAAGCCAAGTCAGGGAAACCAGAAATCGGAATAACCAGGGAATAGCCAAGGTCAAAATACCAGAATATCAGAATCACAAGGATAAACGCACTCTCGGGAACCAGGAACAGGAAACCACGACAGGACAAGGTACTGGGGAAAATCAGGGATTTAAATATCCCTCTCTGGGCTCTGATTGGTCAGAGGGTGAGCTCTGACCCCAGAACCTGCGCATGCGTTGACGTTGTGACGTCACGCGCATGTCCGTATAACTTTGAGGGGCAGAGCCTTTGATGGACGCGACCACATGGTCGGCGCCATCTTTGGTTTGGGCACACTGCCCAGAAAACGCGGAGGAGCGGTTCCCGACTCGCCGACAAGCAGGTAAGCTCGCTTTATTGGCGCAGTTGTGCCGGTCGGGCACAGACGCACCGTGCGGCGGCCAGGAGCTGTAACCCTCACGCTCTGCATGAACACCTCCAGCGTCAGATTTTTCCCAATAGGAAAGCATTGAATAATGCTTTCCTATGGGGTGATCCTAATGTGAGCATGGCCATTGCCGCACATGAGCATTAGGTCTCCCCCACCAGCTGACGTTGGTGGGGGAGGAGCATGGGCGGAGCCTCACCCAGCGCCGAGGGACATCAGCGCTGGATTCAGGTGAGTGACTGAAGGGGTTTTAACCCATTCAGCACCGTGGGAGAGGGGTGCGCGAGGGAGGGGGGCAGTGAAGGATTCTACAGCGCCAGGAAAACAGGTTTGTTTTCCTGGCACAATAGAATCCCTTTAAGTCAGCGCTGATTTTTTCCTTACCATATTTAACATCCACCCCACCCCTCACTGACATCATTGTGGGAAGGTTAACGCTCCCATTTAGCATTGTAAGCTTTTATAACACACTGAGCTATAGTGATATAGTAAACTATAATAATACATGAGTTGTAATAGTGCAATAAGCTGTAACAATACATTATGCTGTAATAATACATTATGCTGTAATAATACAATAAGCTATAACACACTGAGCTTTAATAGTGCAATAAGCTGTAATAATATAAGTTATAACACACTGAGCTTTAATAGTGCAATAAGCTTAATGTAATATTACATATTACAATGTATTGTATGTTTACAGCTTTTTGCACTATTACAGCTCAATGGATTATTACAACTCATTATTACATCTTATTGTATTATTACAGCTCAGTGTTATTACAGCTTATTGTATTATTACAGCTCAAATAATACACTGAGCTGTAATAGTGCAATAAGCTGCAATATTACAGTAAGATGCAATAATACAATAAGCTGTAATAATACACTGAGCTGTAATAATGCAATAATACAATGAGCTGTAATAATACAATAAGCTGTAGTAATAATAATGGGTTTTAATAATCCATTGAGCTGTAATAGTGCAATCAATAAGGTGCAATAATACAGTGTGCTGTAATAATACAATAAGATGCAATAATACAATGAGCTATAATAATACAATAAGCTGTAATAACAAATTGAGCTATAATAATACAATAAGCTGTGATTGTTATAGCTCTTGGATGTCCCTTTTGAAGCCTACTGTAGTGTTTATGATGCCAGTAGTATCCTGTGCCATCCCATGGTACGATATCAAGCAGTTTTAGCATGATATGATTATTTATCTAGGTCCTGCCATTTACCGGTGTTCAACCCAGGTTTCTGTAGCAGGAGAAGCCGGGTAACTCCATAGAGAAATAGAACCATACAGTTCTGCAATCATTGGCGTCAACTGAGCGCTATCAATCAATGATTGCAGTCCTGCATCTCTCCTTCTAAGCTATAGAAATGTCTGGCTTCTTCTACTGGAGGAGACAGGATGTACCAGATGTGGAGAGGGCAGCGGGCAGGACCCAGGTAAGATTTTAAACCTTGCTAAAAAGCCTGACATTTTATTATAGTACTGTGACTGGTTATGGTTCTTGGAGTGCTTCTTCAATTTTACCCACTAATGCTTTATGCCGACTTGTCAATCTATATATGGGATATATACTGAAGACTCCTCTCACCCTTCCTTTGTCTGCAATATTTTGGCAGGTCTTTCATACAACAATGTAGGATGGGAAATGCCAAAATGGCAGCCAATCAGAGTAGAGTGAAAGAAACATGATGTTTAATTACAGTAAAATTTCAGCTGTACAAATATTCTATGTCAGTGCATACAGATAATCTACTGTATCCTGCTGTGTCCTGATGGGTTATAGAGCGTTTTGGTTTAATGGCTTTTATTTGATCTAGGTCTTTTATACCCGGTCTGTGCTCCACTGCCAGTGAAGGGCGAGCTTTGTCACAACCCAGTTCACCAGCTTTTGAATGTTCTCAGCTGGAATTTGCAAAGTGACGGGGTGCTTGATCTCTGCCCATGTTCCAGTGGATTAGTGTGCCAGTCCCAAAGGTGGGTGATCACATCCTAACACATGCATTATCCTGGCACTACAACATATGCCAACCTTTGTTATATCCATCCGTGTCTGGTGTAATCAACAATATATTATTTTAAGTAGTCATTTCCCCCCACCAGAAATCTGTCTAGTTACCATAATTGTCCAAATGCCATCTATTCTCGAAGCCAGTGATTGTACGTATGTTCTTTGCTTGCTCAATGAGAACCAATTTGTGGTGACTATGGAGGCCTCCATTTAATACTTTGGGAAAACTTTTAAATTGATATAATATTTTGAAAAATATTCTAATATTTAGATGTTTTGATATAGTTATGTAGTAATCTAGGTTGCAACAGGATCAAAGTCCAACAAGTTCAACCTTGAACCCATTCCTTTATGCTGTTGATCCAAAGGAAGGAAAAAACACAAACAATTGTAGCCATTTTCAATAATACCATAAAAAGGTTAAAAACAAGTACTCAACAACCAAGTGACATACATAGTAATCTTATCCTTGAATATTCTGCTTATGCAAACAAGCATCCAAGCCTTTTGTAGAATATGATGACAACCTCTTTAGGTAGAGAATTCCACATCTTTATCGCTCTTAAAGTAAAGAACCCTTTCCTCTGCTGTAAGTAAAAACGCCTTTCTTCCAGTCTCAATGGGTGACCTCTTTTCTATTGTATCTTCCTGCTTATAAACAGGTTAACACATAACATATTATCATGTGCTACTATTGAATTGTTTACAATTATACCTGGTTTGCCACTGCAATTCTGTGCATGCAGTTTTTATCATTGTCATTTAAAGGATCACTTTAGGGTCAGGAACACAAACATGTATTCCTGACCCTATAGTGTTAACACCACCATCTAGCCCCCCTGGGCCCCTCATGCCTCCATAAATATAGCAAAATCTTACTGTATTCATGCCAGAAGCTGTAGATCTGCATGTTGTTTGCCTCAGGCGTGGGGGCCAGGGGGAGGACATTAGGTCCCCCCCCACTTATTCTAATTTAGGGCCCCCACCCACCGCTCAGGGGTGGGGGCCAGGGGGGAGAACATTAGGTCCCCCCCTAATTAGTATTTAGGGCCCCCACCCACCGCTCAGGGGTGGGGGCCAGGGGGGAGGACATTAGGTCCCCCCCCTCATTCTAATTTAGGGCCCCCATCCAAAGCTCAGGGGTGGGGGCCAGGGTGGAGGATATTAGGTCCTCCCCCCTCATTCTAATTTAGGGCCCCCACCCACCGCTCAGGGGTGGGGGCCAGGAGGAGGACATTAGGGCCCCCACCCGCCGTTCAGGGGTGGGGGCAATAGGTCCCCCCTTCAGGTTAGGAGGGGGAGGGAGGACGTGTTTTTTTTGTTTGTTTTTTACAGTGAGCAGCCACAGGCTGCTCACTATTTAATAGATATGCCCCTACTCGCGGTATAGCGAGTAGGGGCATAATTTACTAATACTAAGTAATCTTTACTTACTATTAGTAAATTTGGCTGAAAGACCAATTTAGGTCATTCAGCCTTTTAGTAGATAGCTCCCTAATACCGTGGGAATTGGGGAGTTATCTACTTATTAATTCCTGTCATTACATTGACTGGCCACGTAACTTACATTTTATATGAATGTGTGTTACTTGATTGTTGTAAGTGTTGCAAATGCTTACAGCTGAATCCTGGCTACGTTTGTATACTTTTTATTTAAAATTGTATACAGTGTAACATTCTTCTTCTTCCACTGGGTCAGAATATTAGTACTTAGGCAATTCTGTGCTTCGGAACTTCGGTAATTCAGCACTTCAGACATTCGGAAGTACCCGAATTTCCCAAAATTCGTCCGAATTCATATTCGGTCCGAAACGAATTGCACATGTCTACTCCTTACTAGTTTTTGCCCAATATTGCACCGCCTATTCAAGTTAGGATCTTATCGTTGATTTATAAATAGGCAAAATTATATTTGGATCACGTGAATCAATACCCATTTTTATACTCAAATGCACCTCACTAGCTTTTGAAATGCACGTCGGCATTGCATACTGTTGTCTAGTTTGTTATCAATAGAAACATAGAATGTGACGGCAGATAAAGAACCATTCGGCCCATCTAGTCTGCCCAATTTTCTAAATACTTTCATTAGTCCCTGGCCTTATCTTATAGTTAGGATAGCCTTATGCCTATCCCACGCATGCTTAAACTCCTTAACTGTGTTAACCTCTACCACTTCAGCTGGAAGGCTATTCCATGCATCCACTACCCTCTCAGTAAAGTAATACTTCCTGATATTATTTTTAAACCTTTGTCCCTCTAATTTAAGACTATGTCCTCTTGTTGTGGTAGTTTTTCTTCGTTTAAATATATAGTCTCCTCCTTTACGGTGTTGATTCCCTTTATGTATATTCATTTAATGTTATCCCTAACTTAAGCCCGTTTAGTGGCTTGTGGGTTCTTTATTCGAAAATGCATGACTTTAAATTAATCTGTATTGAATCTCATCTTCCACGTGCCTGCCCAGTTCCCCAATTTATCCAAATCCATCCCATTGTACAGTGCTGCAGAGGTTGTTGGTGCTATATAGATAATTATAATAATCCATAAAGAAGATTTATCATGTTCAGCCAGTGCTATCTACCTAGATGTGTCATCTGCAAACATTGACACATCACTTTAAGATCACTTATAATAGAAGAGAAGTGGACCCAGGACAATACACTGAGACACTCGACTTAAAAGAATATGGACATTGCGACATAACTGCTGTCTGTAGAATACTTAGGGACACAGCAGCTAACACTGAATGGGGCGGGGGGGTAATTAACCAAAAACCCCAAATCTTTTACACTACAAGGATATGGACATTATAGTTATGCAAAGTAGTAGTAAGGGGCCTATCCTTTTAAATAGCACAGGTCAGAGAAGATGGACACAGTTGAGCAGACCACTAAAGCACATACATCACAAGTCATAGAGCTACTAAAGCAGGTCAGTGACCTCACTTCGGCCCATGCAACTCTCAGCCACCAGCTAGTTGCACTGGAAGACAAAAGGAGGTGGAAACACCTGAAAATCCAGGGCCTAGCAGACAGTGTCACTACGGTAGAACTGCCTCATTTTCTATGCAGGCTCTTCGTGGCCCTCCTGCCTCCTAAACAGGCTAAAGGCATATGCTAGACGCGATGTTCTGTCTCCTTAAGCCTCCATCAGCTGTAGCATCAACCACCAACGACCTACTGATTAAATTTCAGAATGGCCAAGACAAGGCTGCCATCTTGAACGCAACTAGAGGGAAAACCCCATACCAGTTCGAAGAAATGGACCTTGCCTTTTTCTCCAACCTTTCCAGCATGGCTCTGCAGGGGAGGAAGTCATTAGGTCCTCTCACATCAATCCTGTAGAATCAAGGTGTTAAATACCACTGGGGCTCCCCTCGCATAGTCATCATACAACACCAGAATGTGGAATACAAAGTGTCTGACACATCAGAAATGGACGCTAGCCTGACCAGCCTTGGACTGCATTGTATCTCCACACCTACAACTCCAGCCTGGGACCCGACCACCATAACATTCACACCAGAGCCAAGAGTGTGAACAAAGTGGTGGTTACTTTTGCACCTTCTTTTTATCCCTTATATCTTGCATTTTCCCACCTTTACAAAAAAAAAGGCACTTACATATTATTTTAGTTAGATTTCGTTTTGTTTCTTGAGGTTTATCCTACCACATGTGCGGAAATTGTTCTCTATGCGCTTTCTGGGTCACGACCGGAAATAACCCTGCTACGCTGGCTCCTCCATTGCCACCAACCCCCACGCGTACAATTTCTCACTTTACTCCAACATGTGGAGCCGTTTTCATTGATCGCTCTGCTTCCTCTATTTTTAAGGTTATTATTTACCTTTTCTCTTTTTCATTATGGTTTTTGCCATGTCCTAATGAATCTACTGCTTCTAACGAACATACTTTTTAGCACGGCTGTTCTTATTAAAAAAAAAACAAACAAAAAAAAAACAAACAAAAAAAAACCCACCTGCGGCCAATACAGTTACCCTTACGATTACACATATGTTTCTAACCACTGTCATGTTTCAACTTTTGTATCACATGCTATGTTTATCATTAAAACCCAAGCAAAAAAAACTAAAGAAACCAGCAAAAAATACATTTAAAAAACCCACCAAAAAATAAAACAAGCAAAAAAAAAACCAAACCCTGCAGCAGTCTGTATAATGTTAGATTGTTACATTTTACTTTGGCCAAACAGAAGGTAGAGGTATTAACTATCAGAGACTAGCATCTGGCCAGTGTGATGTTGGCATGCAGACTCCACTTTGTGCAGAGGACAGCAGGAAAGCAAATGTTAATTAATTTCAATGCAAAAAAAGAACTCATCAAATCAAAGGGGATTGGAAATTATATAATTTTGTGGAAAATCAGTAACTTTCATACTGATTGTAATTCTCTGTTTGTCAGTCACACTTTAGTGTCCGTTTGTGAAGAGCTGCCGCAAGACATTGACAGGAGGGCGAATCCTGAGGCGCTAATAGAGGACTTTCCCTTTGTCAGCTTGCTACCACAGGAAGAATTAAATTACGAAGACAGTTACTCTGTGACAACTGGGTCCAGCCCGACTGCAGACTATCGCATGCCAGAAATGTATCCTGATATCAACCAGGACGAGATCTGAGAAACGTGCTGGATACATGCAGACTGTAATAGAACAGGGTAAAATAGACTGTTACCGCCTCCCTCATGCAGTGGATTGCTCTATATTCTCCAACATGCGTTGATTAACCCTTTAAGAGGGCAGCCTTTATGATTTCTCTTTTCTCAGAAGGAAGTAAAAAAAAAATTTCTAGGTGCCAATCAATTTTATGGTTTGTGTCTACCTTTTTTTTTTTTTTCCCCCCCCTTGCTTACAAGAGGGGGACTATTTACATACACATTCTTAATAGAAAGAAAACAAATCTGTGGTAATGTTCTGAAAGTGCAAAGATTGCTGTGGAATAAATAAAATCAGGATAATTTCATTTGTTTCCAAGGCACTGCTCTACTTTTAGAACTTTTCACACTACCAATCTGTAACACAAACACATACCTCCACGATCGCCTACTGTAGTAAGCAGTGAATGGCTGTTGGCTAATTACGGATTAAAGGCATACGACTTCCTCCTGCCATCATTCTTCTAATATTTATATAGTGACAGTAATGTGTGACCCTTAAGTAACCAGGTATGTATAAAGTAGGTTTCTAAATGGAGAGATAATTAAAGAATCCCTGATCATACCACCCAAGGTAACATGGTGTATGAAATGAAACTGATGGTTGTTAGGCAGGATCCCAATGGCCACAGTACTCAATCAGCAAGTGACTGTCACCCTCTGGCTCCCTAATCAGTTTAAGGAGCTTATTACCCAAACCGTGAATTTAACGAAATGTAAAGATTTAGACTTGGGAAAAAAAAAATCTGCAATATCATCTATTTATGGCTAAACGTTATTGAAATGTACTAGCAGACTTGCAGTTTATTCTCCAGTCTCTCAGAATCGGACACCAGAAACGGGTAGCCCACTGCATGTCTGTATGTAGAGTTAAATGGAGCTGAGCTGGTGTTAAATCATTGTTCAGCAAAGACACATACTACATTTTCTCCATTTTAAAAATAAAAACATAGGGGGTTAATCTTTGATTTGAGCTGTAATTATTCCCCTATTCTGAATGTGTGTGTGTCTGATCTTTTTTCTGCATAAAGTACATTCAAATGATACAAGGTTAATTCACATTTTATTTCTCTTTCTTTCAATCACATGTGTAGACTTTTTTTTTTTTTTTTTTTTTAAACGGAAAGAAAAATATAATTTGATTACAAAGGCCTTAAATTAGAGGGCTGGTTTATCTAAAAACAATTATTTGAGTCAAAAGAATCGTACAAAAAACAGCTGATCCATACCAACCACCTATTCCAGGGGTAGGCAACATTCAGCATTCCAGATATTATTGACTATATCTTCCATAATGCTCTTACAACCATAATACTGGCAAAGCATCAGGGGACATGTAGTCCACAACATCTCTAGTGCCAAAAGTTGTCTACCCATGACTTATTCTATTATGTACATCTGTACTTAACACTTCGTAACCTCATGGGCATTCAAGAGATGTTCGATTCTAGAACCACATCATTAGCTTCCTAACACAAGCACCACAAAACCTTCCCAAGATAAGCCAACAATTGGAAACTATAACCAGAACATATTGAGCAGGGGAGTAGATTTTATGTGAAGCACTCAGAATGGGTCCCATTTGTCATTATCGGGGATCAGCTGAATAAAACCTTTGCTGGAAGAGGAGGGAGGGAATATGTGCAACACTGGTTCTTTAACAGAGCACATGTAAGAGATTTGTAAAAGGTGCTCTGCTCACTATACAGTGCAAACAAGACTCAACTATTTAAACAGCCCTTTAGTGAAAAAAAAAACTCTGAATTTCGAGTAATGTTTAAAATTTGCCCAAAATACTACAATAATGTGACGTAAATTAACCATTGGTATTATTAAGAGGACCATGAAAATAACTTTGTTTTAAAGCATCTAATGAATTAATCATTAAGAAACGACCTGCAGAAATGCAAATCGTATTTACTAATGTGTGAATTGTTTGGAACTGAAACGACGTACAGCACAAACAAAACAATTAAAGACACATAAGCTGCATAATAAAAGCTGGTTGAAGCCTGCTTCATTTTTTTATCACTATAAATTAAGATTTGTATAGGTTATAGAAGAAGCCATTATTTTGCTTCTGGTGTGTTTGTATCCATCGTTAATCATACCTTTCCATGTATTGAACTCATTGGTGTTGCAGATCAGCAGCAACCAACGACCCAGTGTAGTACAGATATACATACGGTAATGTAAAATAAATATAAGAATTACAAAAGCTAAAACCAAGAGGCAATACATTTACAGGAGTGTCTAGTAAATACTCCTGTAAGTCCATTGCCTCTTGGTAAAATATGGTATACTACATAGGCTAATCACCAACAATATGGACCACATGTGGAGGGTGACAGCACCTTTAATTGGATCATGTGGAATCTTTTCACTTACCTTTCCACTTCTGACCAGAAATCCAAATAAAACATGGTTTGTTTTAAAGAGACAATTTAATTTGTGTGGCTTTTTTTCTTTTTTTAATTTTTATTGGCATGTTCATTGTTGTAAACAGCATCCGGCATGAAGAAAAAAAAATAAAATTATCAAAACCTTGTATTGATTTGTTATAAATTACACAGCAATTTCAAAAATGTATGCAGAAATATTTATACATATTTTTTCTACTATTGTGTTGCAAATCAAACAGCAAGGATTTAAAAAAAAAAAAAAAAAGTGCTCAAAATGGCATTTAATGCATTCAGTAAATTAGGTTTGAAATTAATCTTCCAATGGTTATTTAAAACATACAGGGGGAGGAGTTTGAACTGAACACAAAATAAACATGAAAAAACAAAAAAAAAACACCCAAAAAAAGGAAAAAGTGTATCAATGTAAAACGGCATCTCCAAAAGCTAAATATATAAGAAAATAAAAATGCAGCTTTACACAAAAATTTAAAATTAAAAACGAAACAAAAACAATGAACAAGCAAACAAAACTCTATAGTACCAGGAAAACCAAACATGGGAAAAATACAAAAGGAAAAAATTTAAATAGGCAGCTAAAGTTTCTCATGTACAAAGTGTTGATATGTGAGATTCTAGGAAATTGAAGCGTTGCAGTCTGTTGGACTATTGGTAATATTTTATTTACACTCTGATGAAACAGCAGAATAAGATTGCTCTATTGGTTTTAATACTTTGTCCCCTTGCTACAAGAACCTGTTCGTAAACAGACGCGCATCCTAATTCCAGCGTATACCTACCTTCTTACCCTCGTCAAATAATGGTACAGCAGCATCAGGCATGTACACAAACCTACTACTTCAATTGAGGTAATGTGTGTATCAGCGACATAACATAGAAAACTATTCCAAGCTCCTTGTAGCTTTATGTTGAAATCCCTGAAAGATCTGAGGAGATCTCTCTCTCTGAGAGGGCTCCAAACAATTGCATCCAACCAAAGCTGGGTAACAGCCAAATATCCAATCCACTTGGTTTGATTTTTATTACATTATATATATGCTTTTGTAAATATTTATATATAATCTTATTTGCACATCCCTTTACAGTTTAATCGACCATAGTGCAGAACATGATTACAAGTCAAACAGTGACCTCACTGGGTCCTGCGGTGCTGATTGGATTACAGTCCACCAATCAGTGCTGGTATTATCAAGTCACACCTTGAGTGTCCTGCAGAGAGTCCTTTCTCCATGCCGACAGTGAACCTGCCTGCGAAAGAAACCCTTGAATGGAGTCTTAAGCTAAATGTCAGTCATGAGCAGCGTCTTTACTTGATGCTCCGTCCAGGTAAATCTTTAGTGCCTTTTCTTTTCGAGGGGAGTAAGTCACACGGTGCCCAGTTTTTTGCAAGCGGCTACTTTCCTTTTTCATTAGCTCATTCCTCTGCTCGTCTGTAAGTTCAACTAGATCCTCTGTTTTATCCCTAAAATAAAAAGTAACAGATTTTTTAAATTTTTTGGAAACCCACAAGGTAGTTTAACTTTTATAAAGATAGGGATTTCTGTTCATTTAACGGATGCATTAACAATCTCTACACTTTGACTACTTCGTCCAACAAATGTCACCACCAACGTTTAAAGGTAATCTGTCATGGGCAAAACTACTTTAGCTCCTTTGCCATCACTCCGGAAGGTTTACGGAGGAAGTTTGCCCTGCTTAGGGAAAAATCACAGGTTTTCTTCGGAACAGCGAATGCGAACTATAGGTGAATGTCACAGAAGTGTACACCCACCTAGGAAAGGAGATCGCAACGGGGGAATGCAAGACCATGAAAGTAGAGACTTTTTCTCTTTAAAAATGTCAGGCTAAAAAAAAGAGCATGGGGACCATTTGCCCCAGGTGTGTATTAAAAGGGAACATAATTCATACTCAAAACAGTACTGAACGAGTTTCATGAGAGAATATGCTTCATACAATTCTGTTAATTTTCTCAAGCTTCAACAGCATGTGCCCATCTAAAGAAATTACCGAGCATCTTCAAACCACTAAAGAATATAACTGTTCAGAGACTGCATTTACAAGTATAAGGCTATTTGTTCAGAATTTGACACACAAGAATGAAATGCGGTCATGAAATGATTGACGGAACGGTTAGCTTTCAAATCAGATAATAGGGAATGTGGTTATGTACCTGTAAAATATAACTGCTCCGTCATCTGAAATGTACAAAGGCCAGGCATTCAAAGTTGAAACCTTCGGGTTCCAATCTAAATCTTGATGGATCTCCAGAATCGAAATGTCGCATGGAAATGTCCCTCGCCCCTGTAGAGTTTAGCACATACATGTTCAAAATACAGATTTTAGAAACTGAGGCATGGAGTGTCTGCAGAAGAAAATCAAGACACAGTAGCACTTTTTGCTTTCCTAAGTGGTAGATTTACATTTGGAAGAAAGTCTTAAACTGGGTAAAATAAAATATAAAAAGAGAATTAGTCAATCATCTTTTTGCCAAGTACATTCTCATTCGTACTGGTGGTGTCCAATCAAATGCTTCATAGAGAAGCATTGCTGACAAATTCACACACTAAAATAGATATTAAATAGCAGGGTGGAGAAAGTAAAATTAAATATATTGATTTTGCACAAAATATTTGTAACAGGTCTCGAAAGGTGTTTCTCTGAGAGTGCAGACAATTCTGCTAGTTTCAGGGAAAAATCTATTTATTCCTGTGATTCTCTCTCTTTACCTAACCTCAGAGAATCGAGCAGTGAGACTGCAGGGGCATGATCTATATACCAATACTGCAATAAGCTGAAGTGGTTTTGGTGCTTAGAGTGCCCTTTTAAAATAAATGCAAACATGTTAACGTTTGACTACATTGGATTTGCACAATTTATTAGCATTAAATCATTTATTCCCTTCAGATTGGTCCTGTTATTTATATTAGGAGAAGTCAAGTGACTTCAAGACATCATTTATTAAGTATCCCTGAATGTGCTGTTAAAATTAGACCCACATAGCCTGATATGTCCCATCACAAAGGGTGTTTCAGACCATTGTATATTCAGATTCAAGAAAAGATGAGCATGTGCCGTCAGGCATGTAGCCTTTACGGAGGAATTGCCAATAAATGCAAGTGATCTACAGTATTCTCTGACCAGGCAGAAGCGATATCTTCAGATTACTTTAATGTGTGGTTTATTCCAGAAATCTTAGGGGTGTGGCATATTACATAGTTACATAGCTGAAAAGCGACTTGCGTCCATTAAGTTCAGCCTTCCTCACATAGTATGGTCATTCATTGTGGAGATTAGCTAGCCAACCAATCGGCAGTGAGCACGAGGAGTCTGCCAGTATAATTTTTTTATGAAAGAAGCAAATACACCCCCCCTCCCTCCCCCCCCCAAAAATGGTGCGGAAAAACAGCAAACTCAAAGGAATCCATGTTTAAAATTGAAAAATTAGGCCAAAATGTGATTAGTTGTTGAACTAATTTGTGTAATCTGTTCAAAAAGGTTGCTTTTTTATTTTTAAAAAAAGACTAATTACAGGTTAAAAAAGAACATTGTTAATAAATTATAGCAGTGAAGAGAATAATCATTAAAATAATTGAATGTTAACGCAAATGGTGACAGATCTAAAAAGGAGCATAAACAAATTAAAATTCAACATGCAGCTTTATGCCTTTTGTAAAGTAACAAAGACTTACTTTTGCAAATTCCAGATTTTCCAAAGGTATGTCACTTATTTCACAAATCTACAAGAGAAGAAAAGCATAGATCTAATAAATATCAGGGAATTACTATGTAATTTCAGTCTATCCCCACCCAGCACGGGAAAGGCAAGTTTGTATAACCGTCAGAGCTTTGAGAACATATGTTGGATTTATTCACTAAACAAAATAATCTTAGAACAAAGTCCACGAATATAAGTTTTAGGAAGGATTTACTCTCTTGGTTACTTCGGCATGTAATTATCCAGTCTTATTCATTGCAAGTCTCCACAGGTAAAACCCAGACGGATCAATTTACTGGCGTGTAAATTAAAAGGAATTTGATGTGGACAGTCAGGATAAAAATTTTTTGCCCAAGTCTAGCCTAAAATGAACCAGTGACTGCATCAGGTACAATTTAGAAATGCTTTGAGTGGTGGATAGTGTGACACCATCTGGTCTCAAAATTAGAAAAATATACCTTTACTACTTAAACATATTTGCTTAACGGTGCCGATCACCTCATTGAGGCAAGCTGGGTTCTAGTTTATGGTTACCTTCTCTCGTAGCTCATCAACGTTATTTGTCTCCAGCACAATTTCCTGAAACGGGTCAAGCTTGAGTTCCGATGGCCTCCATCTCTTAGTAAATATAGAAAGCTGAGACATGGACTTCATCTTCTCGTTTTCTGAGCAATAAAGAGATAAAATCAGAGCTACCAACACATTGTAAATCAGAAATATAAGCAGAAAGAGTAAACTAGACATATGTCTGGACAGAGCCCATGCTAATAAGTGGTTTGATCAACTTTTCTGCTAATTATACAGAAAATGATGATCTCCCTTATGCCAGGGGAAACACTGAACAATGAAAGTCATGCCAAGTAGAACTCTGCTACTGTCCAATTCTTCAGGTAGTTTGAATGATTAACAACATGAAAAAAAAACCCAAACCAAATCGTTTTCCCCCCTCAAGAAACCAACAGTTTTTTTCTTGAGCAAATTATAACTGAATAGATGCCTAGTTTCTTAATTAACTAAATGCCTTTTATCTACAATCATTGCCAACATCTTGCATGGGACAGTGAAAGGCTTACCATTCAGCACCTCTAAGAACACTTCCCAGTTGCTGGAAATACTAATATCACTTTCATAAACATGATAATCCAGAAATACGGTTCCTGGGTTCTTCCAGGTCTTCTTTCGGAGTCGGAATCTGAGGCAGAAAGACAGTTTGTTTGTGTGGAGTCTGAACAGAAATGGGTCAAACGTCACAACCTGCAACATGACATTAGGTCTGTTGATGGTAGCAGATATATTGCGTGAATGTAAAGAAAAACAAGATGTATCCTCACCGATCTATGGACAGGTCGAGACCGCACTGCTCCCTGAGTTGTGGTAACAGTTCTTCTTTAGATTGGTGGACACTCATTCCTTTAGCAAACACAGCATCCAGCAGGAACTTGCAGGGCTGGGTAAAGTAAAATAGCAGGTGATGAAGGGCACAAGGAATGGGTGAAACGTTGTCTGAACATGGTTATTCTAGTAAAAGGAAACTCTCAGAGACTGGTGAGGTTTCAATGCTCAGTGACAGACAGAAAAAAAGTTTCTCAGAGAAACTAAAATTAAGTGGAATTTTCAGTATTAACATGATTCCAAGCAATACCATAACCTGACACTCTTCCAACCAATGCAATGGTTTCACATGTGTATGTCTACTGACTTTCCTCTAATTTCTAGTAAGACCAGGAACTTCAGTACCTTCTGTATGAGTGTATATCAATATATGTTATCTCATGCAATTTATCGCATGTTTGAAACCCTGTGCACAAATGCACAACTCAGGCAGAATTAATTTGAGAGAACAAAATACAAACAAAAAAAAATGTGTGATTTCCTTTCATTGGGAAGACAAGACAGACTAATCCCCATTTTGTAATAAGTATGATAAAGTACTATTTTAAGCACTTACCTCTGTCTCATTTAATAAAAGTTGGAAAACTTTCACTCTGTACTCCCCCTTTTTAAGTGCTCTACCGAGCCGGATGGTGATCTGTATAAAAAAAATAAAAAAAAAAAAAAAGGTACATAATTAAAAGTGTTACTATAATGGCATTGAGAGGCGGCTTAGCAGGTGTGTGCCTTGGTGGGCATTGTGGAGAAGGTCCCACTTTCAATGGGCTGCATAACCTGTAATAAGTTTTACTCCCCTAAACCCAAAATCCAGCGCTGGGCAAAGTTCCCAAGGCAGTTCCGCCCTCCCCGTTCATGACGTCACTGGGCCGATCGCAATCCAAACACAGGCTTCTCAGGATGCTTGTGATTGGACCAACTATCTACTCAGAGTGCATGTGCACACTGTGTTATGGAGGGGAGGGATGAGGTGGGAGAAGGATAATGGGAAAGACCGGTTATTTAAAAAACAAACAAACAAAAAAAAAAACAACAAATAAGCAACAGGTTGGCAGGAGGGGAGAGCAAGCTTTTCCTTGCTGGCGTTTTGCCTGCATGTGGAAGATTTTTAAGTCCGTTATCAGTGTACAGTGCATGCTGACAGGTGTAAATTATGCACAGAATTGACATTATATAGCCTGGAACAGGGTTCTGGGCTGCCTAAGTCAAGTGTGCTGGAGGTGCAATTAGCCCCAGCACACAATTAAGTATATCTCAGTATGTGCAGTGTTTTAAGCTAAAACACTGCACATACAGACTTCTACCACTTTAAATCACTGATGAACCATTTCAAGGTGCTGTATTGAGCTGGTCACTGCAGCTTTTGCTGAGCATTAGGTGCGATGATCAGCCATATTAATGAGCAAACAA